AAATATGATATAACGTTGCTTTAAATTTAATGTTTGTAGCAATAGAAATAAAGCAAAATGTATTGAAATAAAAGCTGATTTAAGTAAGGTATTGTGGGTATAAAACTAATGTAATCAACTATTGTTACAAAAATGTCCTCGGAATGAAAAAAAAACCCGGTTCAGTTAAATTAAGCTAGAATTGATGCCACACCACTCATGTTCCTTTGATGTGTTACCGCCCATTCTTGGATGGAAGCGATACGTATAATTCACGCCACACTTCACACACACTCGCTGAGTGGTTTTATATACAGGCTGTTACGCTGTTCATTAATGACTCAATTTATTTGTAATTAATATTAGGTTAATTATTTTTATTGATCAAGGACACCACTCAAAGTTGTAAATTACCACAAAAAAATTAGGCCTACAAACATAACTTAGTGCTTGAAATCATTATTACCCACGGTTGCATTACAAATATAATATGTGTTTATTGGCACACACACACACACACACACATATATATATCTATCTATCTATCTATCTATCTATCTATCTATCTATATATATATATATATATATATATATATATATATATATATATATATATATATGTGTATGTATATATGAGAGATAACAGAATAAATCAATACCTATCCTGTGGTGTTATGTAGCACGTATACAATCTCCTGTTTGATGGATGTTTTTGCCCTAATTGTCTACATATCGAGATAATTCTACTTGCTGTAAATCTGTAAACTTCTGGAACCACAAGATATGTGTCGTGTTTAGGTGTATTCTGCGGGCTGTTCCACCTCTCGGTTATCTGAAGCATGAGTGCGCAGAGTCGTGCATTGATCTATCGAATGTCACCTTTTATAGGCTGGGCTAATCATTCTTCTGTTACTTCGTCTTTACGCTGAGCTGTAAGGCTGTAAATTGTTCTACACAGTCTTTATGCCTTGGTTAGAGATTGTACTATAACGACTTTACGCCTTGGTTAGAGATTGTACTATAACGACTTTAGACCTTGGTTAGAGATTGTACTATAACGTATTTAGACTTTGGTTAAAGATTGTTCTACACCGTCTTTAGACCTTGGTTAGAGATTGTACTATAACGTATTTAGACTTTGGTTAGAGATTGTTTTATAACGTCTTTAGGCCTTGGTTAGAGATTGTACTATAACGTCTTTAGACTTTGGTTAAACATTGTTCTATAAGTCCTCTTAATCCTGGGATATTCATTGTTCTATAACTTACAAAAGAGGTCGAAGAATGCGATTTTTTTTTCAAATTTTATTTTGAATGCACTGAAAGCTTAATTTTCTACTTTTCTAGTACATATGCATTTTAATAATTAAAATAATTAAGTAGATATTTAATTTTTATACACACAAAGCACTTTAATTTTCTGCGTTCTGCTCATTATTAGAAAGACAACATCACATACAACTAAAATATTAGCTGCAAAAGCCGATTAATAGCTTAAGATCTAAAAACTCAATAATAAAATTATCCCCACATTGCGCATAAAGGTGGACGGATCTAAGGCGTGACAATGTCCGCGACCAACAACTCTAGCTGCTACCAGGCTGAGCTAGTGATACTCAGCACTTCATGCTGTTATCTCGACTTTTTATTGAATATATTTTATTAATCTCCTCACTCATTTTTATTGACTAATTTAATAGCTAATTAGTTTAAAATGAGATATTCTTGTATTGTCATCTGTGGTAATGTATTTTTAAAAGTCGCTGAAGCTAAATGTATTTATAGTATTAGACACAGACTGACAGACATTGTACACTGAATACAATCTTATAATAAAATAAGATGTTGAAGGATTTAGAGGTATTTGAAGATGTACTGATTCCCTTCGTTGTAATATTATCCAGCACTTTGAATACTTAGAAAAAATATTGAATGGAATCTGTTCCATCTCAATCCTAAATTAGCCTATTACAATACAAAAAACCTATTTTTTTACAAGAATGTATGTCCACAATAGCGTCCTTGTTATTTCTGTCTTAAATTTTTTGAAATGTCAAGTCTTGTAAACATTTTTTTTATCGAGCTTATAATGTGTATAGTGTATTGTCACGTGATTAAAAAAACTAAAATGTGCGCAGTACGTTAAGAGAAAGAGAGATAGAGAGAGAGAGAGAGAGAGAGAGAGAGAGGGGGGGGGTTAGAGTGGTAGAGAGAGAGGTAGATGTAGAAAGAAGAAGAGATATTTTTTTTGATATTTTTGACAAACGTGCTTGATATTTATTTATTTATTTATTCATTTGTTTATTCAATTACGGTAACAATAGTAGGCACGGAGGCCTTTTTTCATGTCGGCCGTTTTAAAATAAACAAATAAAAACAACAATTTAATAACAGCATTTAAAAAAAGCAATAGCATAGTAACGACCTAGCAGTAACATAGCACTAAAAATGTGGAATAAAGAAACAATATTGCATAGTTATAATACAAGATGAGATAAAATAAGAATATAATAGATGAATGAGAAATGTTTCAATGAGTCAGTTAGAGAGGTCATTAAATAATTGTTGTTTTAGTTTAGATTTGAATATACTTTCAGATCTAGATAGTTTTTTTTTGTTAGGAAAATTGTTCCACAAATTAGAACCAGGGGATTGGGATTTTGGCAGATAGATGTGTTTAAATAGAGAGGTAGATAGAAAATTCACCAACAACATAAATAACCACATGAGCCCGGACTTGACATCAATGACACTAGCACATTTGTAAAGCTACCAGTTACAGTAGCACATTTATAAAGCTACCATTTACAGTAGCGCATTTGTAAAGCTACCAGTTACAGTAGCACGTATGTAAAGCTACCAGTTAGATTAGCACATATGTAAAGCTACTATTTACACTAGCACGTATGTAAAGCTACCAGTTACTCACATATGTAAAGCTACCAGTTACAGTAGCACATATGTAAAGCTACCAGTTACAGTAGCACGTATGTAAAGCAACGAAAATGCTCGTCAGAAATCAGCTGATTTTCAACACGAGAGAATCTTTGTTACAGAACATTTTCTCTTCGAAAAATTCGTTCCGAAATCATTTTCTTTTCTTTTTTTGCGGAATAATTGTAGCTGTACTACAAAATATAGTTTTTGTCATAAGGTGTTTTTTTTTATTTGAATAAATATCACCTTTGCATGCCGAAACAAAACACAATGTGAATCTTTTTTTTTAATATCGGAATTTTAAATATTGCTATAAAAAACCTTCCAAAAAATATAAAAGCATCAGAATTTAAAAAAAAAAATTGCATCGAGTTTAAAGAAAATGAAATTTTGGAGAAAAAATCTATCTAAACGAAACAAAAACTGAAGAAAGACATTGTTTCTATTTCGAGCGAGAATTATAATCTTAAAAAAAAGTTGTGTCCCATTAAGGCCGTTAATGGTTCAATGAATGATCATGCTTAGAATTTTATTCTGTAATATCGAAAACATAACGTTTCAACCAATGATGATGGTCGCAGTTTTAAAACCAGGCAGCGAATGCAAATTGAGTTAATGAGCTCACACACATGACATTTTAAACGTTATTAATCAATACTTTTATCAGACAGTGTGGTCAGATGGTAGCGTGCACGTCCACAAACCCAAAAGTCTCGCGTTCAAATTGCTGTTTCGAATCCCTAGCTCGTACGTGTACTTTACCGACTTGACTGTGGATAGGACAGGGAAGGCGACAAATCATCAGACTCGGCACACAATCTCTTTATATCATACGCCGCTATTTAGTTGTTTTATTTTCTACTTTACAGTAATTCATAATTTGTGAATTCGACTGTACCAATGCTGCCACAGAATATATTTGCTTTAAAACACTATCAGTATCTCGTTAAGGACGATAACCACCACCCCCTCCTTTCCCAAACCCCTACCCCCCACCCCCCCCCCCCCTGTGAAAGCAGCCTCTTCTTAGTTAACTCCGCTAAGTTTAAAATCGTTTCAAACTAAATTATTTGCCCCTAATAGCCGTCACTAAACCCGGCTCTACGATTGTAAATATTTAGCGTGAACCACAGCTCACCAGACCATGTAGAGGGTGGGGGTGGTAGGGAGCGCTCTAACAGCTTGGTGTTTTCTAGCGTCTCCAAGAACAGAATTATATAATATATATATATAGATTTTCACACAAACAAAAACCCCACGACTTAGTATACGTCAGGACTGTTTGTTGGTAACTTTACGTTCAATTCATGACAACTGACAATTAATAATTACGTTAATTATTTTCAAAATGAATTACTTTAAAACAAAAATAGAATACCTAAAGCTGTTGTTTTTTTTTGTAATAGGCTTTCGCATCTCTTAATCTCAAATTGTGAGTGATTCTGATGCATATTTAAAGTTTACATTCATTGATCTTTTTTTTTTCTGATCTTTATGAAAGAAATAGTTTGTATGCCTTAATGTTTGCATTAAACTGGCGCTCGCCTGCGTGTAACGGGTGTCGTAGCAAGCCAGACCACGTGGTCCACCCTACCAGACTGCTCGTCTCTTCTGCTGGTCTAGCGCAGACGACGGAAGTTGCGCGGAGTGGTGGGCCCTGCTCTCCCGCCTATCCAAGGACAGTCACCGACCACAACAGGAGCGCCAAGCGGGATAACCGGCCCTGATCACGGACCTGACAGGAAGCGGAAACACCATCCGCACTGAACCGTGGGCACTCGGACATAGACTGTTGGGACTACACTAGCTACATCTAGTTCGGCTAAACTGAATCCATTTTACTTCTAAAATTCATTTCTAATTATAAGTGCAGCTGTTTTCAAATACAACTGAAGCCTATATAATTATTGATCGAACGTGAACGGTTTTAAATGTGAAAAAAAAGCGAAAAATAACCTATTGCCTTGATTGCTCTAAATATGCGTTTAACATTCGGCCTTCAATGAAACGTGCAAACATGCGCCAAGAAAGTGACGTCATTTCCTCACGACTGGATACCCCGGCCCGTGCATGTTTCTGGACATAATGGTCAGCAACGTGAGTGCTGTCATGTACGTCAGCGGTGGTGAGCACTACTTCAAGGACAACGTCACGTCCGTCCTTGACCCTGTGGGTGGGGTCAGGCCTGGCAATGGAACAATCTACGACTCGCTCACGTTCGAGAACCCTCTGAACCACCCGTGGGTCAAGTTCATGTTTATCCTTCTCTTCTGTCTGGTTTTCGTCGTCTGCGGCGTAGGTGAGTACATCTTAGTGGGCTTGTGTGTGGGGAGGTGAGTACATCTTAGTGGGCTTGTGTGTGGGGAGGTGAGCTGGTGGGCTTGTGTGTGGGGAGGTGAGTTAGGGGGCTTGTGTGTGGGTACGTGAGTACATCTTAGTGGGCTTGTGTGTGGGGAGGTGAGTACATCTTAGTGGTCTTGTGTGTGGGGAGGTGAGTACATCTTAGTGGTCTTGTGTGTGGGTACGTGAGTACATCTTAGTGGGCTTGTGTGTGGGGAGGTGAGTACATCTTAGTGGTCTTGTCTGTGGGTACGTGAGTACATCTTAGTGGGCTTGTGTGTGGGGAGGTGAGTACATCTTGGTGGGCTTGTGTGTGGGGAGGTGAGTACATCTTAGTGGTCTAGTGTGTGGGGAGGTGAGTACATCTTGGTGGGCTTGTGTGTGGGGAGGTGAGTACATCTTGGTGGGCTTGTGTGTGGGGAGGTGAGTACATCTTAGTGGGCTTGTGTGTGGGGAGGTGAGTACACCTTAGTGGGCTTGTGTGTGGGGAGGTGAGTACATCTTAGTGGGCTTGTGTGGGTACGTGAGTACATCTTAGTGGGCTTGTGTGTGGGGAGGTGAGTACATCTTGGTGGGCTTGTGTGTGGGGAGGTGAGTACATCTTAGTGGTCTTGTGTGTGGGGAGGTGAGTACATCTTGGTGGGCTTGTGTGTGGGGAGGTGAGTACATCTTAGTGGGCTTGTGTGTGGGGAGGTGAGTACATCTTAGTGGGCTTGTGTGTGTGGAGGTGAGTACATCTTAGTGGGCTTGTGTGTGGGGAGGTGAGTACATCTTGGTGGGCTTGTGTGTGGGGAGGTGAGTCCATCTTAGTGGGCTTGTGTGTGGGGAGGTGAGCTGGTGGGCTTGTGTGAGGGAAGGTGAGTTAGGGGGCTTGTGTGTGGGGAGGTGAGTACATCTTAGTGGGCTTGTGTGTGGGGAGGTGAGTTAGTGGGCTTGTGTGTGGGGAGGTGAGTACACCTTATTGGGCTTGTGTGTGGGGAGGTGAGTTAGTGGGCTTGTGTGTGGGGAGGTGAGTACACCTTAGTGGACTTGTGTGTGGGGAGGTGAGTACATCTTAGTGGTCTTGTGTGTGGGTAAGTGAGTACATCTTAGTGGTCTTGTGTGTAGGGAGGTGAGTACACCTTAGTGGGCTTGTGTGTGGGGAGGTGAGTACATCTTAGTGGGCTTGTGTGTGGGGAGGTGAGTACATCTTAGTGGGCTTGTGTGTGGGGAGGTGAGTACATCTTAGTGGGCTTGTGTGTGGGGAGGTGAGTACATCTTAGTGGGCTTGTGTGTAGGGAGGTGAGTACACCTTAGTGGGCTTGTGTGTGGGGAGGTGAGTACATCTTAGTGGGCTTGTGTGTAGGGGGGTGAGTACACCTTAGTGGGCTTGTGTGTGGGGAGGTGATAACATCTTAGTGGGCTTGTGTGCGGGTTGAGCACCTGGGAAAGTTTTGGTTGTAGAACATAGATGACTATCACGTGGTTCTTAATCAAACTACCACTACAGACAATGGCACAACATTATAGGGGAAACCAGCAATCACTAAAGTAATAGTCTTCGTTGTTGTAGCCTGCGTGATGATGGATGTTGTAGTACGCCGATTTGTGACATGCATTCTAACTCGCAACAACAAAATTACAGGAGATGCTTTATATTCACTTTTAAATCAATATCTGGTTCAAGAGTTGGGTCTATTTCAGTATTTCTTTAAAGTCAGCAGGTTTTTATTTTTTTTGGGATTGGGAGGGGGGGGGGGGGATTTGGTTACAAAATCAGACGAAGTCATGTGACATACCAGACTGATCGACTATTGTCGTTAGGGAAAATTGGTTACAAACCACAGTATAGAGTCTGTATAGAGAGTACCATCAGACGCTAGAGATAAATTCTTCAATCATTGCATTGTACTCAAGCCACCGTAGAACTTTATAGACAATTATTGCATTTGATGCATTGATTTATTCTGTCTATCGTTTAGGATATATTGTGTATATTTTAACTATTAAAGCTGTCATGTTTTATTACATGACATGTGTACTGTTTGTGATTGTTTGATTGTTTGAGTGCTCATGTGCGAGAGATTTAAGCCAAGAGGGTGGGGGAACGAGTGCGTGTGTGTGTGTGGGGGGGGGGGGGGGGGGGGGAGTGGGGTGGTGATTATCTCAGTTTTGATGTTTTGTAATATTTTACTCATCGGTCCGTTGGTCTCAAAGCTGAAGTTTTTTAAATATGTAAATATGTATTTAAAAATAATGTAAATATGTATTTTAAAATATGTAAAAAGGTATTTAAAAATATGTAAATATGTATTTAAAATATGTAAATAGGTATTTTAAAATATGTAAATACAATAGTTAGTACTTAACTCATTACGCAGGTATGCAATCCATAGCTTTTTCAGGCAAAGTATGAAATATTGACGTTGTTACATACTTTTGCCAGGTATTACATAAAATGCCTAGGCATTTTATAAAATAACAAGAACTGCTCAGTTAAAGTGTCGAATGTCCAAATTGCAAAAGTCTTTAGTAATGCAGTAAAAAAATGAAAGAATAAATATAAATTACGAACAGAAAATATTTAATAGGCCAACAAAGGAATCAGAAGTGCTATTAAACTGATGCAGGGGAAGCAATAATGTCATCTTGAATTGAACATAATTTTCTTTCTTACCCTAAAGCTAATGCTAAGCCTAACCCATAGCCCTAACCCCAAACTCTAAAGCTAACCCTAACTCTAACCTCAAACCCTAAAGCTAACCCTAACCCTAACCCCAAACCCTAAAGCTAACCCTAACCCTAACCCCAAACCCTAAAGCTAACCCTAACCCTAACCCCAAACTCTAAAGCTAACCCTAACTCTAACCTCAAACCCTAAAGCTAACCCTAACCCTAACCCCAAACCCTAAAGCTAACCCTAACCCTAACCCCAAACCCTAAAGCTAACCCTAACCCTAACCCTAACCCCAAACCCTAAAGTTAACCCTAACAAAGGTGCCGGAATGATCTGGCGAGAAATCCTTTTCTACACTCGGCCTGTTTGTTATTGAGTACGCTTTAGAATGACTCCGTAATGTCTGAAATATTGATGTCTTTTATAACTTGACGAGCCATTTCAGGCATTATACACATTACTGGTTATAATATAAATGTATATATATATATATATATATATATATATATATATATATATATATATATATATATACATATATATATATATATATATATATATATATATATATATATATATATATATATATATATATATATATATATATATATATATATATATATATATATATATTTACATACATAAATATACATATAATATACATACTATATATATATATATATATATATATATATATATATATATATATATATATATAGGGTAGGAGTGGGAATAGTTAACGCTTGATTTTTTCTTACAAAGCAGTTAATGAACTATTTCTTCTCGGCCAGGTAACAGTCTGGTGCTGTATACAATAGCACGCAACAAGCGCATGCGCACTCACACCAACTTCTTCCTGGCCAATTTGGCAGTGGCGGACCTCAGTGTGGGCCTGGTGTGTATCCTGCCCAAACTGATACAGTACCTGTCGCTAAGCTGGTTCCTGGGGCAGGTAAGGTGCCACTCACTCAATACCCGTATGTCATTAAGCTGGTTGCCCGGTAGGATAGGTGGCATGTAACTCACGAAGTAGGGGCGGCAGTAGAGAGCTAGACTGCTAACCCGAGAGTCTCAAGTTCGAATCCGGGTTAGGGGTCGGCGTGGTCGAATCGGTAAAGCTCATGGTTGCTAAACCGAAAAGTCTCGACTTCGAACCCTTAGGCAGATGAAGCTCGTTAACTGGGGACAGCCACTCTTTTAGGAGAGACAACTGCGAAAAAGAAAAGTAGGCTGAAATCGGAGTCAATGGCCGGAATGGCGCATAATCAACAAGTAACCTTAATTGTGATTGAGTCGTGGTCGAGTCGGCAAAAAGCTCATGGTTGATAAACTCGAAAAAGTCTCGAGTTCAAAACCTCTGGCAGATAAGGCTCGATCCCTTTCAATACTAAAAATTAAGAACGAAGAAGAAGAATTCGGGTTCAAATCAGTGGAAACAAAGGCGGCTGGGCATAGCGCTGACCACATTATCCCTTCAAATGCCGAGGTCAATGAATCAGATGAACTTTACTTTATCTACCCCATGTGTCTTGGGCACGAACGGGATTAAGAAGAGAAGAACTCACACAGTACCTGTCGTTTGATGTTTCTCTACCTATCACCACAATATAAAACTAACCCACATATTTCCTCACACAAAGAGATGAACAACAAAAATTCCGTAATGCCTAGATTGCCATATGGTATGCCCGTTTGGTCTGCTTTATACCATGCCATTCAATGCCAGACGATTTAATCCGATATAAAGCTTTAACATATTCAACAGAGCTTGCAGGATTTAGCACATTAACCCTAAGTCAAATGTTAAACCCAAACTTTCACAGCATTTCATTTAATCTCATCATTGTTACATCGCTATCAATAGCTCGCATAGCTGGGGGATTAATATAATTAGGGCAAACCATTGTTTTCTTCATGAAACAAATGACGATTTCACGTTCTAAATAGAACACAAATCTAGTTATAAGCTTCTTCTTCTAACACACGTATGTATACGTGTCAACTTTTTATGTCACAAGATAGGACGTTGACTCTGATTTCAACCTGCTTTTCTTTTTGGATTTGCTTCAATTATCTTTGTCTAACCAAGCACAAACTGTAAGGCAGCAGATGTTTGATTTTGTTGTCTCTAAGAGTTGCTGTCAACAGCTATCGAGCCTCATCTGCCAGGGGATTCGAACTCGTGATTTTTCGGTTTACCGACTCGACCTCGCCGACCTCCATAAAAAATAAAATCAGTAAAGTGACTTTTCCAGTACAATAAACAAAACAGGCAATGGCCATTTGTCTTTGTTAGGGTTTTCGGCCGACACGTTAATATTCAAGTCCGATAACTCCGATTCCAGCCTGCTTTTTCTTTTTTGGATTTACTTATACAAGGCAGCAGTTGTTTGAATTTGGAGAAGTCTGTCCAAGACTAGTAGCTGTCCACATCTGGTACACGGAGTTCTCATGACTTTTGGTTTAGCAACAATGCGCGTTACCGGCTAGACCACGCCGACCCCTACACCAGCTCATGAGAAGCGAAACTTTAAAAGAAATTGAAACACGATTTCTGTGATTTTTAAATCGTCACGAGATTACAAATAAAATATTAGAAAATCGATCGAATCGTACACTTGAGATACCCAGTATTATTACACACACAAAACATTAAATTAATATTTTAAATAAAAAGTATAAAAAATGTCCACAAATTATGCTGGTGGTTTTCATTCAGTGCAACTTTTTGCATGTTCTAGTACTCTGTGTCTAGCTCCAGCTAATCTCGACTACTATGTACTCTTAGCTCCTGATTTAAGCTCCCTTCAACATGTACTCATCCTACGTTTACAACCGGTTACTTTGATGTGACTAAGATACTGTTAAGTTCTCTAAAACAATATTTTTCTTACACAATGAGTCTCGTATTTAAATGCAACAACCTGTTAGATGAGTCTAATTTAATCAACCCATTACTTGCTTGATGATGAACCCTATTCTGTATCTTGTGGACAGGCCATGTGCAAAATCTACTACTTCGCTCACAGTCTCACCTACACGGCATCCATCTTGCTACTGACGGCCATCGCCATTGAGAGGTACATCGCTGTGCTATACCCGCTGAGGTCCAAGTGCTTGGTCACACAGTCCAGGCTGGTTCTTGCACAGGTGAGTTGCGGGGTCAGTTATGAAGTCAATACAGGCTAGTTCTAACACAGGTCAGTCGTGTGGTCAGTCCAAGCCTAGCACAGGTCAGTTGTGTGGTCAGTCCAGGTCTAGCACAGGTCAGTGGAATGGTCAGTCCAGGTCTAGCACAGGTCAGTGGAAAGGTCAGTCCAGGTCTAGCACAGGTCAGTCGTGTGGTCAGTCCAGGTTTAGCACAGGTCAGTCGTGTGGTCAGTCCAGGTCTAGCACAGGTCAGTCGTGTGGTCAGTCCAGGTCTAGCACAGGTCAGTCGTGTGGTCAGTCCAGGTCTAGCACAGGTCAGTCGTGTGGTCAGTCCAGGTCTAGCACAGGTCAGTCGTGTGGTTAGTCCAGGCTAGTTCTAGCACAGGTCAGTCGTGTGGTCAGTCGTGTGGTCAGTAGTGTGGTCAGTCCAGGTCTAGCACAGGTCAGTGGAATGGTCAGTCCAGGTCTAGCACAGGTCAGTCGTGTGGTCAGTCCAGGTCTAGCAAAGGTCAGTGGAATGGTCAGTCCAGGTCTAGCACAGGTCAGTCGTGTGGTCAGTCCAGGTCTAGCACAGGTCAGTCGTGTGGTCAGTCCAGGTCTAGCACAGGTCAGTGGAATGGTCAGTCCAGGTCTAGCACAGGTCAGTGGAATGGTCAGTCCAGGTCTAGCACAGGTCAGTCGTGTGGTCAGTCCAGGTCTAGCACAGGTCAGTCGTGTGGTCAGTCCAGGTCTAGCACAGGTCAGTCGAATGGTCAGTCCAGGTCTAGCACAGGTCAGTGGAATGGTCAGTCCAGGTATAGCACAGGTCAGTCGTGTGGTCAGTCCAGGTCTAGCACAGGTCAGTGGAATAGTCAGTCTAGGTCTAGCACAGGTCAGTCGTGTGGTCAGTCCAGGTCTAGCACAGGTCAGTGGAATGGTCAGTCCAGGTCTAGCACAGGTCAGTCGTGTGGTCAGTCCAGGTCTAGCACAGGTCAGTCGTGTGGTCAGTCTAGGTCTAGCACAGGTCAGTCGTGTGGTCAGTCCAGGTCTAGCACAGGTCAGTCGTGTGGTCAGTCGTGTGGTCAGTAGTGTGGTCAGTCCAGGTCTAGCACAGGTCAGTCGTGTGGTTAGTCCAGGCTAGTTCTAGCACAGGTCAGTCGTGTGGTCAGTCGTGTGGTCAGTAGTGTGGTCAATCCAGGTCTAGCACAGGTCAGTGGAATGGTCAGTCCAGGTCTAGCACAGGTCAGTCGTGTGGTCAGTCCAGGTCTAGCACAGGTCAGTCGTGTGGTCAGTCCAGGTCTAGCACAGGTCAGTGGAATGGTCAGTCCAGGTCTAGCACAGGTCAGTCGTGTGGTCAGTCCAGGTCTAGCACAGGTCAGTCGTGTGGTCAGTCGTGTGGTCAGTAGTGTGGTCAGTCCAGGTCTAGCACAGGTCAGTCGTGTGGTTAGTCCAGGCTAGTTCTAGCACAGGTCAGTCGTGTGGTCAGTCGTGTGGTCAGTAGTGTGGTCAGTCCAGGTCTAGCACAGGTCAGTCGTGTGGTCAGTCTTGTGGTCAGTCCAGGTCTAGCACAGGTCAGTCGTGTGGTCAGTCCAGGTCTAGCACAGGTCAGTCAAGTGGTCAGTCTAGTTCTAGCACAGGTCAGTCTTGAATAGTTACTGCTGTTGTACTACTACATCAACCGATATTGTTTTGATTAACCACACCAACATTTGAGCTGGGCCCAAGACAACAGATTAAGCAAACGTAAGCTGTTTGTGATTAGCCGATAAGAAATAAATATTATGCAAGCTGGTTTTACATGAAAACAATTTTGTTTAAAAAAGTTGCACGTAATTTCCTGCATGATCAAGTGATAACAATTTTTGTCAAACAAATTAGCGGCAAATTTTTGTTTTATTATCCAATAGAAAATATGACACAAAAAAAGAAATAATGTCATACTGCGATGTGAAGACGAAACTAGAAGCTAGTTGCCTCAATTAGGACATTGATTGCAGTTCGCCGTCGTGGTCACATAAAAATACATGATTTATTTATTTTTGTTGGTTTATTTTTTTTAACTTGTGGGAGGGAGGATTTATCTGCACAAATTAATATTGACGTCAGCTCTAGCATGTAAACTGAGGATTTAGAAATTAATTCAAATAATAACTTTCGAAATATCACATGTCCGTTTTAAAATAATGAACACTATTAATTTCCTTTAATTAAATGTTCTGATAAATTGTGTATAACCTGAAGTCTGTCAAAGTGCATTTTGGTATTATGTACAATGAAAACTTAATGCATGATCAAAGAACAATTCATTGTTGAAAGCTTATTCCATGTTCTGAGCACTTAATCCATGCCCCCATAACTTAATCCATGACCCCATAACTTAATCTATGACCCTAAAATTTAATCCATGACCCCATAGCTTAATCCATGACCCCATAACTTAATCCATGACACCATAACTTATAACATGACCCTATAACTTAATCCATGACCCCATAATTTATAATATGACCCTATAACTTATTCCACTGCTACCAACGTATTCCATGACCCGAGAACACAGCTCGCTACCCCATGTTTTTGACCCATGTCTCATGTCAGAACCGTCTCCTCTGCCTCCCTAGGTCTTCATCTGGGTGCTGTCGTTCGCCTACAATTGTCCTGAGCTGTCCATGTTCAACTTGTTCACCATCACCATCAACAACGAGACGACCGTCTTCTGTTTTCCCACCAACCCCTACACCAACATGCGGAACTACTACACCACCAACTTCCTTCTCTGGTACATCCTGCCCCTCACGTTAGTAGTTTACCATTTATTTCATTGATAACTTACTCAGTTGACTGTTTACCATTTTTCTCATTGATAACCTGCTCAGTTGAATGTTTATTAAAGATTCCGCACAGCGGAGATTGCGTGTTTCGCCTATTGTTGAAAATTAGCTATTAAGTATTGATTAAAGGCTTATGTTTCAGATTAGCACATTATTAAAACTGACGTTTTTAGGCATTGTCTACTCTCCGTATATTAAGCAGGTTTAGCTTGTTCATTATTGAATCTTCCTTGGTGATCCAATTTGTTACATCGATTCAACATAATTGTGCTTTTTTTGCTATTCAATTCATTATACGATGTTATTTTAGCAGCATGGTATCTGCATGTGCTAGTGGGTGGTGATGTAATTTCAACATTGTAGTGTCTGCATATGTATATTATGGTTTGTGTATAGGGTAGTATATTTGTGATGTAATATCAGCATTATGGTGTCTGCATATGCTACTATGTTAGTGATGTAATTTCAGCATTATGGTGTCTGTTTATGCTACTATGTTTGTGATGTAATTTCAGCATTATGGTGTCTGTATATGCTACTATGTTTGTGATGTAATTTCAGCATTATGGTGTCTGTTTATGCTACTATGTTTGTGATGTAATTTCAGCATTATGGTGTCTGTATATGCTACTATGTTTGTGATGTAATTTCAGCATTATGGTGTCTGTTTATGCTACTATGTTTGTGATGTAATTTCAGCATTATGGTGTCTGTATATGCTACTATTTTAGTGATGTAATTTCAGCATTATGGCGTCTGCATACACTTGTGTTTGTGATGTAATTTCAGCATTATGGTTTCTGCTTACATTAGTAGGTTTCTGATGTAATTTCAGCATCATGGTGTCTACTTACATTAGTAGGTTTGTGATGTAATTTCAGCATCATGGTATCTGCTTACATTAGTAGGTTTTCGATGTAATTTCAGCATCATGGTATCTGCTTACATTAGTAATTTTGTCATGTAATCTCAGCATCATGGTATCTGCTTACATTAGTAGGTTTGTGATGTAATTTCAGCATCATGGTATCGATGTACACCCGAGTGGCCATCACCCTTTGGAAGTCCAGCAAGTTGTCCAGCCACAGCACACAAGGTTTCCAGATGCGCTCAATATCACAGAGAGACACACGGACACTTCAGGTGAGCTAATGGTGGTGCCAGGTGGGGTGGTGGTGGGGGGGGGGGCAGGGGCACGTCAAGGTATACGTCAAACAGGTGTGGGGACGGGGGTAGGGACTAGCGACACGTCAAGTCAAGGTATACGTCAAACAGGTGTGGGGACGGGGGGTAGGGACTAGCGACACGTCAAGTCAAGGTATACTTCAAACAGGTGGGGGTAGGAACCACACACAAACCTACAGAGTGTAGCCACACGTTGTATAAGTGAAAGGGCCGCACAAGACTCACCTGCAGAAGTGATGTATTGAACACTGTGGTGGTGTGTTGAACACTGTGGTGGTGTGTTGAACACTGTGGTGGTGTGTTGAACACTGTTGTGGTGTTTTGAACACGGTAGTGGTGTGTTGAAGGTGTTGTGGTGTGTTGAAGATGTTGTGGTGTGTTGAAGATGTTTTAGGTAAAATGAAGATTCAGGAGATATTGGTTTTACAATCTTTTACTTAGTTCGCCACATCCGGTTGTTTATGAGTTTGTGGCAAATCTTGTCACTCTATTTTGACCCGCTTCTAATGCAGCGATTTTGTTCAAACTTTCCAGATAGGTTTTTTTTTTAAATTTAATTAGTTGTTAAATTATATATTAAAAATTAATTAAACGGTTTCAAAGCTCAGGATAGATGAAATATTTAAATGCTATCGATCACTCGAGAGCTTACTACATTCCATAACAGAAGAGGAGATAACTAGTTAGACGCCATTACCCGAAGAGTCTTCTGAGCGTGGTTCAGCCAAATGTTTACAATCGTAGAGCCGGGTCAAATTGGTACCGGCTATAAGGGGCAGATAATAGATTTGAAACTAAGGGGAGGTAACAAGATTTAAATCTAGCGATCGCTTGATCAGATCGCTGTCGCCTGTAAACTGTGGTCACCGACAACTGCTTTCACAGGGCAGATAATCGCCTTTCAGATATAGAGAGCTACAAATGGAGTTTACAAGAAAATATTTGTATTTTTAGTCACATCATTAGTACTGCCGACTTCATAATTTAAAAATTACTAAAATGTAGAACAAGTATAAAAAACAAATCTTTCTAATAACAAGCTTCTTAAAAGCAGTAAAAATGAGAAGAACAAAAAAAACTGTTTTGTTTTCTTTTGTTAAAGCGTTGGTTGTTAATGAGACCGTTTACATATTTTAGCGACCAAAGCATTTATGAAAGAAAGCAAACCTGTTTTATTCTATTATTGTCAGGGCACATTGAAAGCTTGTTATTAGAAATGTTTTGAAATATTTGTTTTATTGTTACTATTGTAACACATAATATTACCAGCCAAGTGACAAATTGAGAATCTGATTAGGTTGGCAGTTGCTTTTTCTTTTTGCTCGTGTGTGCGATTCGAACCAGTATTTGTCATGTCATGTGACCTTTCGGAGATCTGGGTTGAATGGTTTGACTTTCATGACCACCTTAGTTCCACTTGTTCTAACAGCGATAGTCAGTGGACGAGATTTGATAAAAGATTCTATGACATTCCATTTTATATCATGTTACACCGAGTCCTCTACATCATTGTCATAGTTTACGTCAACCTGTGTAACGCCACGCACGCTTGGCCACGCTTGACTGCGTCGAATGACGTGTGACTTTTGTTACGCACCACTGAGTTTGTGTTTCCATTAGGGTCAGCTCCTGAATGCACTAACATAGACGGATGACACACACCCTATCCCCACTGAGGCAGTGATGACCCACACACCCTGACCCCACTGAGGAAGTGATGACCCACACACCCTATCCCCACTGAGGCAGTGATGACCCACACACCGTATCCCCACTGAGGCAAAGATGACCCACACACCCTATCCCCACTGAGGCAGTGATGACCCACACACCCTATCCCCACTGAGGCAAAGATGACCCACACACCCTATCCCCACTGAGGCAGTGATGACCCACACACCCTATCCCCACTGAGGCAGTGATGACCCACACACACCCTATCCCCACTGAGGCAGTGATGACCCACACACACCCTATCCCCACTGAGGCAGTGATGACCCACACACACCCTATCCCCCACTGAGGCAGTGTTACAAATATTTTTTATTAAATATTATCCAGTGTGCTTCTTCTCGATTTTCATTTCACAAAATTGATTTTCTTTCAACTTAATAACAGCAAAAACGATTCCCTGTATAAAAGAAAATCAGTTTCATATAATTTGATTTTTAAAAATATCTTTGAACCAAGATTTAAGTAGTTGTAGAATGGACTGAGAGGGGGACAATGCCACGAGCTTGTCTCCATTCTGCCGTAGGGAAATGTTAATGCACATTTCAAATTTCATGTTGGAGGTGATGAAGTACACGTTTCGCGTGGTATGTTTTATGAATGCGATACTTGAGACTATCCGATTTATTTTTTAGATTTTTCTTGGGGGTGGGGCGGGCTTGGGGTGGTGGATATGAAAGCGATTGGTTTTGAGATGGTATGTTCGTTTCAAAGACCTATGACCCGCACTTTGAAGCACCGAGTGCCTGGCGCTGATATAAAGCGGCCCCATATGGCTGGATAGAGTAGTTAAGCCTAAGATTAGATTTAGAAGATTGACTTCGTTGTTTTTTAAAAATGTTCGAGGCCAGGACAATTATAAAAGGAATCGTGACAATGGATTTCGTCATGAGAATAAATGTGCGATGTATTAATGTGAGATTAGCGTTAATATTTTATACCCGGTATAACTCTAGTGTAAGTTATAATTTGCGATTCAATTCATCATTGAGTTGCGTTTCAATATCGTCATTAGAATGTTGTCTCTATAACTATAATTTCTCTACGTTTTCATGCAACCGTAATCTTATGACATTGCTATAGTTCTTAGATTTATTACGTGTAGTTCCCGTGTGAAATCTATACAATTTTAATTTCCCTTGCAGAATCATATGTATAACATATTGTTTCATATAAAACTCCAAACTTTACTTGTAAATTGCTGCATAAAATCTTGATAAAACTTTCCTATCTTTATTTATATTTACTGTATAACACCTGTATAAAACTTACAACTTTACTTGTAAATTCCTGTATAAAATCTTGACATAACACTCCTACCTGTGTGTTATAACACCTGTGTAAAACGCCTCCATCTATTCCACCAGGAGACCGTTGTATGCTACGATGGTTCCCTGACAGACGAGTCTCACAGACCCTCGCAGCACTCCCCGGTGTTGGCCGACGCCACCAAACAGACCCGGAACAACAACAACGCCAAAGTCTTCACCAGCTGCCTTCGTGCCGGCTCCAGCCCACGACACGAGCCGGAAAAATCCGGCATCCTGGAAGACGAGGGTGCGACCTGCACCACCCCGACGGAGAAGTTCTCCTGTAGGAGCAGCTGGTCAAGCCGGAGCAGGTCAAGCCGGAGCAGGTCCCAGCCCTGCCAGTTCCCGCGCCGGTACATCGCGTGCGACTTCACGTCAGAGGCTGACGTCACGTCATCTGAGGAATACGACATGATCAGCAAAGACGGCAGCACGCGACCTCGCGTGCAGTGTCGCGTGTACCAGGTCAGCTCCCACCGTGTGCTGAATTCCCGGAGACGCGTCATCAAGCTATTAATAGTAATCCTGCTGACGTTTGCCGTGTGCGTGCTGCCGTACCACCTGAAGCTGCTGCTGCTACACTGGGAGATCTACCCCACAGACAGCTCCAACATGGACTTCATGAGCCCGCTAGCCTTCATCATGCTGTACGTCAACTCAGCCGTCAACCCCGTCCTCTACTGGGTCTTTTCTGACACTTTTCGACGGAGTTTCCGCGACAGTTGCAGGCGGAACTGTGTCCGTTCTTGTTGTGCTAAATAACATTGTGGAATATAGGGACTTTACCAATATCATCGTGATATATAGGGCCTTTATCAATAACATCTTGGACTAAGGACCTTTATCAATAACAATAGAGGGCCTTTATCAATAACATCTTGGACTAAGGACCTTTATCAATAACAATAGAGGGCCTTTATCAATAACATCGTGGGCTATATGACCTTTATCAATAACATTCTGAAATAGAGGACCTTTATCATTAACATCGTGGGCTATTGGACCTTCATCAATAACATTGAGTAGTCGAAGACTTTATCACATACGTTTGTATGCTTGGACTTTCGCCTAATACATGTATATAATACTAGGACATTTGCCTTATACGTGTGTAAGCTAGGACCGTTGTCACATACATGTATAAACTAGGACACTGATCACATACGTGTGAAACTTAGGACCGTTATTTCATACATGTGTAATGTAGGACCGTGTTCACATGTGTAAAGTAAGATACTTCTCATATATATGTGCTATCAAAAGCGTTAGCCCCATAAAACTACTAGTTATGACCTTCAACTCATACATTTCCTGGGAACAGGGCATTACCCCCCCCCAGGCAATTATTTCCGGACATTCCCCTCGCCCCGACATTACCCCCCGGAGTTATTACCCCCCCCCCCCCCCGCCCAATACGACATAACCCCCCCCCCCCCCGGACACAGCTTAATGTACAGCTAGGGTTAGGGTAAGGATTAAATTTAGGGCTAGGGCTATGGTTAGAGCTAGGGATAGGGCTAGAGTTAGTGTCATGGTCAAGGTTAGGCTTAAACCAATGTTTAGAGTTGATTTTGGTTTTGTGTTAATTACGGGGGAGGGGGGGTGGCAGTCCGGGGATAATTGACTGGGGGGGGGGGGGAATCTCATGTAGCCACATTTTCTCCCCTTTACCACAAACACAATGCGGGGAACACGTTTAGTATATGTTCACCGCAATAACTTTTTGTTCTTTGTACAACCACTTTAGTGTTGGTGCCTTAGATCTAACCAAACAACAACTCTCATAGAACTGCTAAATAAACTATCTTTACTCCGTGGAGATGGCGGTATTGACTCGCCTACTCAGTGTTGTAAATGAAGGCGAGATTAGAGAACAGAAAAACACTAACAAGAAGTGGCGGATCTAGGGTGGAGTAGAGGGGGTGTCAACCCCGGGCGGCATTGTTGATATATATTATATACAATGCAGGTGTCTTTACTGACATAATATATATTTTATGTATAGTTTTTAACAATGAACTTTTTGCATCTATTTTATTTGTTTCTCTACTGCAATATTAAATATAAGAGATTTTTTGTTGCCTTATCCAGGTCTATATATTATGGTTTTAGTTGTATTTGTTCCAGAAGAATTTCTTTACAAATCGGCAGCATGTTTTCAATTTACCGTCGTGGTCTGTGATGTATCGACTTTGGTTGTTTACAAAATTAATTATTCTCAGCTTATACATGTTCTACATCAAGTAATGTTGACGAATGTCTGCTTAATTTAATTCTTTTAGTTTGATATTGACTTGTTGTATTTGACTTATATGGAATGGTAAAAAGAAGATTTTTTTTTTTACATTTCTAGCGTCTAAGGTGTGAATTTGATTATCATTTGTAATGTGTGTTTTTGTCACTTTAAATATTGTGTATAACTGTGTCTATGCTACTTTCAAATTTTGTGTATAAGTGTGTCTATGTGTTTATCTCATAAGTTGTTATAGTTGTCTGTGTTATATCGAATCACGGACAAAAAAGAAAGGCTCAAAACATTTTAAAACATGTGTAGACTACATCTTTGACCGATTATTCTTGTGGTATTCCCATCTGTCACAAGATGTCTACATTCAAGAGTGTTTCTTTATCTGTCTTTTGTTTTATTGTTACTTGCTATTTGGTTACACATTGATGAACAGAATCAATTTAAAGCAATCTACCCCAGCCCGTATTTTGTGGTTTGAAAGCGGCGATGAAGAAGATTCTTTTAATAGGTTATTAGCCTTGGCAAAATGGCCAAATCCCTTGTATTCGTAGCCCAGAAATAATGTATTTCAAAGGGACCAAATCCTTGACCGTTTGTACTACTTTAATTTCGATACTAAAAATGTAAATTGATAAAAAAAAAAACTTGTCTTTTAAAAATGTGAATTTATCATACAAACATTGCTGTGTTAAAACCATGTGAATTAATCACACAACAAAAAGTTTGTTTTGCCTGTGATCATGTGAATTGATGTGGCATTAAAAGATATGATTGTATTATTTAAAAACTGCCTTACCACATAATAAACTACATATTCAATAATTTTCTTGTTACTTGTAGATTTGCTGACCATGTACACTTAGATTTGTTGACCATGTACACTTAGATTTGTTGACCATGTACACTTAGATGTGTTGACCAAGTACACTTAGATTTGTTGACCATGTACACTTCGATTTGTTGACCATGTACACTTAGATTTGTTGACGATGTACACTTAGATGTGTTGACCAAGTACACTTAGATTTGTTGACCATGTACACTTAGATGTGTTGACCATGTACACTTAGATGTGTTGACCATGTACACTTAGATTTGTTGACCAAGTACACTTAGATTTGTTGACCATGTACACTTAGATTTGTTGACTATGTACACTTAGATGTGTTGACCATGTACACTTAGATGTGTTGACCATGTACACTTAGATTTGTTGACCATGTACACTTAGATTTGTTGACCATGTACACTTAGATGTGTTGACCAAGTACACTTAGATTTGTTGACCATGTACACTTAGATTTGTTGACCATGTACACTTAGATTTGTTGACCATGTACACTTAGATGTGTTGACCAAGTACACTTAGATTTGTTGACCATGTACACTTAGATTTGTTGACCATGTACACTTAGATGTGTTGACTATGTACACTTAGATGTGTTGACCATGTACACTTAGATGTGTTGACCATGTACACTTAGATTTGTTGACCATGTACACTTAGATTTGTTCAATCTCCATTAGTAGACAGATTGGAGCAAAAGGTCTAAATCATTTTCATATTTATTTTCTTCCAATTTCCCCCAATGTTGGCTATAATAGTTGGCTAAAGTTGAAAATACGGATATACTCAAAATATTTTTCATTCGCTTTCATGGAAGGAGTGACTTGTAGTTTTCTTTAAAATGTTATTTAATCTCAGGTTTTGATTTAAATACTATGGGGGTATTAGGATTAGGTAACAGTAGCGGAAGTGTGTCTTCAAAACCGCGGCTAAACAATACATATTATTATAATTTTAACATATTGCATGTTTGATGTAAATCAGGCAGATGAAGAGTAACGAAGTATATCTAGTACAGGAGGGTGAAGTATACTCGAATATACATGCAGCAACAGGCGATACACTTGACAGAAGAGACTTAAATATACTTGACAAATGTGGCTTAAATATACTTGACAAATGTGGCTTAAATATACTTGACAAATGTGGCTTAAATATACTTGACAAATGTGGCTTAAATATACTTGAAAAATGTGGCTTAAATGTACTTGACACATGTGGCTTAAATATACTTGACAAATGTGGCTTAAATATACTTGACAAATGTGGCTTAAATATACTTGACAAATGTGGCTTAAATATACTTGACAAATGTGGCTTAAATATACTTGAAAAATGTGGCTTGAATATACTTGACAAATGTGGCTTAAATATACTTGACAAATGTGGCTTAAATATACTTGACAAATGTGGCTTAAATATACTTGACAAATGTGGCTTAAATATACTTGACAAATGTGGCTTAAATATACTTGACAAATGTGGCTGAAATATAAACTAGTGACAGAAAGGGTGAAATATAAATGACGGGAGGGAGAGAGGGTGAAATATAAATGACGGGAGGGAGAGAGGGTGAAATATAAATGACGGGAGGGAGAGAGGGTGAAATATAAATGACGGGAGGGAGAGAGGGTGAAATATAAATGACATGAGGGAGAGAGGGTAAAATATATATGAGGGGGTGGGAGGGGCTGAAATATAAATGACAGGAGGGAGAGAGGGTAAAATATATATGAGGGGGTGGGAGAGAGGGTAAAATATAAATGACGGGAGGGGGAGAGGGTGAAATATAAATGACATGAGGGAGAGAGGATGAAATATAAATGACGTGAGGGAGAGAGGATGAAATATAAATGACATGAGGGAGAGAGGGTGAAATATAAATGACATGAGGGAGAGAGGGTGAAATATAAATGACATGAGGGAGAGAGGGTGAAATATAAATGACATGAGGGAGAGAGGATGGAATATAAATGATGGGAAGGGAGAGGGTGAAATATAAATGACGTGAGGGGGAGGGGATGGAATGTACTTGAAATAAGAGTCTAAAAATTAGAGGCTGAGATATAAACGACAAAAAAGGCTGACGTTTAAATGTGTGTAATGGCCAGGGAACATTTTACACCTTCCAGGGTGGTTTAAATTCTACCCACTACACCAGTATTGCTAGATAAAGTGTCCTGGTTGGCTGATACAGCATGAAGGAATGGCTGTAAGCCTAACTAAACAGACACGAGTAATATCTTAAGGAATGGCTGTAAGAACTAATAGACTCGTTCAATAAAGTAATGGCTGTAAGCCTAACTAAATAGACTCGAGTAATATCTTAAGGAATTACTCTAAGCCTAACTAAATAGGCTCGAGTAATAACTTGAGGAATAAATGTAAGCCTAACTAAACAGACTCAAGTAATATCTTAAGGAATGGCTGTAAGAACTAATAGACTCGTTCAATAAAGTAATGGCTGTAAGCCTAACTAAATAGACTCGAGTAATATCTTAAGGAATTACTCTAAGCCTAACTAAATAGGCTCGAGTAATAACTTGAGGAATAAATGTAAGCCTAACTAAACAGACTCAAGTGATATCTTAAGGAATGGCTGTAAGAACTAATAGACTCGTTCAATAAAGTAATGGCTGTAAGCCTAACTAAATAGACTCGAGTAATATCTTAAGGAATTACTCTAAGCCTAACTAACTAGACTCGTTCAATGAAGGAATGACTGTAAGCCTCACTAAACAGGCTCGAGTAATATCTTAAGGAATGACTGTGAGCCTAACTAACTAGACTCGAGTAATATCTTAAGGAATGAATGTAAGCCTAACTAAACAGACACGAGTAATATCTTAAGGAATGGCTGTAAGCCTAACTAACTAGACTCGTTCAATGAAGGAATGACTGTAAGCCTATCTAACTAGATTCGTTCAATGAAAGAATGGCTGTAAGCCTCACTAAACAGGCTCAAGTAATATCTTAAGGAATACCTGTACGCCTAACTAACTAGACTCGTGTAATATTCTAAGACATTTTTCTATACCCCCAGGACACACATGGACCAGTCTACGCGCTGAAAGCTGGAGCTGTTTCATGTCGAGAAGATAATTTTCTTGCCGTCATTGATGTCGTTTTCTTTGTAACATATAACTCAAGTCATTGAATCTATGAGATTTTTTTAAAAACAGGAGTAGACAAAATGTGACATCAATCAAATTATGCCTTCCCTCCCCTCTCCGTTTGGGAGAAACAAAGGTTCAACGAAAAATAAACGTTCATAATAACATTTAAGCTTACAAAAATGTTATTTTTAAAGTGCATTTAATATGCTATTACAAAGGGTTTTAATAATTAATTATTTTTAAAAATCTTTTAGTAGTTAGGAATATTAAAAATAAAAAAATAAAATTTGGATTTAAATGTAGGAAAAATCTAGTGGCCTCCATTTTTTAATGCACATTTCATCGTTTTTATCAAGCCATCGCCCAACATGAAGGAAAATATTTGTTTTAAAAATAGACAGGTAGAATATTGCGAATAGCGAATTTTATTATTCGACAAAGAAGTGACAAACGAACTGGAATAACCTTGGGTATTTCTGTGTTGTTCTAACATCTGTACAAAACTAAGTTATTGTAGACACAAGGGAAGCAATCGAAACTAGATTTGATTAAAATAATACTCGGGTTGCCTAACCTGAGTTTACCTGTAAGTTATAGAGGTGGCATTACAGAATCAATAGCAAGCTTATATTTAAATCGGCATCACTGATTACCATTCAAATAGTTTTTTTTAAACAATATTTGTTGTGGTTTTAAACCACCATTTAATTAATTACTGATAAAAAAAAATTCAATCAAAAGCTTTTCCAAACTACTAATAAACTTAATATAGTTCAAAGCCCCAGGTCTCAAATATAATTAATGAAAGTTCAAAATCAGTTTACACTTTAAGACAAATGTTTAAATTATTTAATTTAAAAAAATAAATTAATCAAACTTTCAAACTTTAATAGAGCGGATAGCAGTGACATTTTCAAGAGAAGCAACTCTTAATCGGAGATTCTTATATTACGGCAAAGTTACTTCCCCTGAATTTGAGAGTCGACAATAATTCAAAGTTATCCTAATTCTGTTTCACCTGGTAATTTTGTCATCGGGTAAAGTAGTTTTGAGCAGAATTCTACTGTCTAGCCCCATGTATGTGTATACTGGGCTCAGTTTCAATGTGTGTTTATCTTTCAACTGAGATTGGGACAAAACCCTCCCCGTTGTTTGATAGTACATTATATAAAAAAAAAAATTCCTCTAACATCTACATTATGGTGTCATGACGTGTCATGATTTGGTGTCAGCCAACTGGTCAGAACTATATGCCGTCAGAGAAAGGTGTCATTATTGAGACGTTGTCTTAACTCACACTAAAGTGTCGTTTAGTAAAGAAATACATGCAATCACAAGTGGGTTATTATAGCAGCAACTAATATCAACAACAACCAACCAGTATCAACATCAGCCAACCAATAACATCAGCCAACCAGTAACATCAACCAACCAGTAATATCAACCAACCAGTAACATCAACCAACCAGTAACATCAACCAACCAGTAACATCAGCCAACCAGTAACATCAACCAACCAGTAACATCAACCAACCAGTATCAACATCAACCAACCATTATCAACATCAGCCAACCAGTATCAACATCAGCCAACCAGTATCAACATCAGCCAACCAGTAACATCAACCAACCAGTAACATCAACCAACCAGTAACATCAGCCAACCAGTATCAACATCAGCCAACCAGTATCAACATCAGCCAACCAGTATCAACATCAGCCAACCAGTATCAACATCAGCCAACCAGTAACAACATCAGCCAACCAGTAACATTAGCCAACCAGTAACATCCGCCAACCAGTATCAACATCAGCCAACCAGTAACATCAGCCAACCAGTAACATCAGCCAACCAGTATCAACATCAGCCAACCAGTATCAACATCAGCCAACCAGTATCAACATCAGCCAACCAGTATCAACATTAACCAACCAGTATCAACATCAGCCAACCAGTATCAACATCAGCCAACCAGTAACATCAGCCAACCAGTAACATCAGCCAACCAGTATCAACATCAACCAACCAGTAACATCAACCAACCAGTATCAACATCAACCAACAAGTATCAACATCAACCAACCAGTATCAACATCAACCAACCAGTATCAACAGCAACCAACCAGTATCAACAGCAACCAACCAGTAACATCAGCCAACCAGTAACATCAGCCAACCAGTAACATCAACCAACCAGTATCAACATCAGCCAACCAGTATCAACATCAACCAACCAGTAACATCAGCCAACCAGTAACATCAGCCAACCAGTAACATCAACCAACCAGTAACATCAACCAACCAGTAACATCAACCAACCAGTAACATCAACCAACCAGTATCAACATCAACCAACCATTATCAACATCAACCAACCAGTATCAACATCAACCAACCAGTATCAACATCAACCAACCAGTATCAACATCAACCAACCAGTATCAATACCAACCCGTTTTAACGTTTTTGAGTGGACAAGTAGTTAGGTGTGTTTGTATGTGCAGGGTGTTTTGTTGCTGTAAATTCTTGTATCATCGTCTCCTCGCGTCTACTTTTTGCCGATTTTTTTTTACGTACCTGTGTTTTTCTGACCGAGATTTAAAAAAAAAATTTAGAAGAAATGTTTCTGGTAAGCTGCCTGAAGCAAGGTGGATTAAAAGTAGGACAACATTGAGTTACAAGATTTGCCACAAATCCACAAACAAATAGACATTGCGAGCTAAATTAAAGCTTATATTACAGGCCTCCTCCGAATGTAAACTTTTTTTATACGTCGCCTTAAAGTTTCGTCCCAGTACTTGAAAGTCAGCGTCTTGATTTAATTACTATAACAATACTACGCCTTGAGTTAAAACCACTCTACCTGTCAACACCCCCCCCCCCCGAATCCCCACCCACATAGCCCTAAAACCATACCAGCACCACACCACGTCATGCCCTATCTAGACCGAAGGGAGAGAATAAAAAAAATGAAGGTCAAGGAATAAAACCGTAACACACTGTCTACGCAGTCAAGACAGAGAGGTTAACACTTGCAGCAAACGTTATCCCACCGTCATGGCCTACACACACGTCAGCAAAGATTTACCGGACATCGAGGTCAGTGCTTTTATTTCAAACGATTTTTGTTTTATTTTAGAAAAGAAAAGTTTTACAAGTTTAAAATCAGCTGAGCTCACGCGAGATAAACACGCAGTCTGACCTAGTTTAGAAACCTAGAACACGAGCGTGCCTCGATGTGAGCCACAACACATGTGATATTTGTACTCACACGGTCATATTTTTATCTTCAAATGTCTGCAAGTCAAGCATGAATTATTGCACAGCTAAATTAAACAGCAATACAGAAGATAAGATTTTAAACTCTACTTCCTGATCAACATCGACAGACTTAATTATAAAACAGCGCCATCATTAGCATAATTTCTGGTAGCTAATTAATTAAAACAAAACCCACATTATATTAATGCACAGTCCACATGTTGTGCACTTGTTGAAAAAACACTGTTGTGAATCAAATTCAATATAAATGGTATAGGGGCTTATATCTTGCTAACAGAATTTTAAATGTAGCTATTTCTGTAACTTTTACATATTTTAATTTGATAAAATCAGCAAAGGTGATGTAATCTATTTTTGAAAAATTAAAACAAACCTTGTGTAAATTCATAGCTACTGTCCCTAATTGAACTATGTAAATCCCTAGCTACTGCCCCTAATTGACCAATGTAAATCCCTAAATACTGCCCACCAGTGGCGTAGCCAGGATCGTCTCAATGGGCGGGGGGTGTTCGAATTTTTACCCGTGGACAAACTTTCGATTAGCACCCACCCCTCATACTTTTTCTATATACCGAGGGGTCTATAGGGGGGGGGGTTATGACCCCCCCTAACCCCCCTGCCTACGCCAATGCTGCCCACAATTGACCAATGTAAATCCCTAGCTACTGCGCCCCCCCCCCCCCCAATCGACCAATGTAAATCCCTAGCTACTGCCCCCAATTGACCAATATAAATCCCTAGCTACTGCCGCCCCCCAATCGACCAATGTAAATCCCTAGCTACTGCCCCCAATTGACCAATATAAATCCCTAGCTACTGCCCCCCCCCAATCGACCAATGTAAATCCCTAGCTACTGCCCCCCCCCAATCGACCAATGTAAATCCCTAGCTACTGCCCCCCCCCCCCAATCGACCAATGTAAATCCCTAGCTACTGCCCCCCCCCAATCGACCAATGTAAATCCCTAGCTACTGCCCCCCCCCCAATCGACCAATGTAAATCCCTAGCTACTGCCGCCCCCCCCCAATCGACCAATGTAAATCCCTAGCTACTGCCGCCCCCCCCCCCCCCCCCAATCGACCAATGTAAATCCCTAGCTACTGCCCCCCCCCCCCCAATCGACCAATGTAAATCCCTAGCTACTGCCCCCCCCCCAATCGACCAATGTAAATCCCTAGCTACTGCCCCCCCCCCCCAATCGACCAATGTAAATCCCTAGCTACTACCTCCAATCGACCAATGGGTGCTAATGTTTTCAGAACCTGCTGGCCTTGAACCCGAAGGTGAGACGCTCGGCAACGGTCATCCCAAGTGCTAGCACCAAAACTGGCAAAAAACACTGGAAGAGGAACCATGACAACCACTGTTCTGTGAGTTCGCTACACACACCAGTACTCACCATCCATTCATGGGAGACTACACGCTAACGTCCTATTTAACTCCACACTTTACAGAAAATTACACTTAGCAATATTATGTTACAGTTAAAGATTACTAGTTATACATCTAGAAATAAATATATCAGACATTAAATAACACATCGAGTTGGTTTTCTTCGAATTTTACTTCGTATTGACACTAGTAACCTGATGTTCTAGCTAGTAACTTGATGTTCTAGCTAGTAACTTGATGTTCTAGCTAGTAACTTGATATTGGATTGTCTATTTGAAGTCATGTGACTCTGGGCTGTTTAAAAACTTTGACGACATCAAGCACACAACACTGAGTGAGAGGGGGGCCCTGAAGGAGGCGGCGCGGTGCCTCAAGTGTGCCGACGCCCCGTGTCAGAAGAGCTGCCCCACACAGCTGGATATCAAGTTCTTCATCTCCTGTATCGCTAACAAGGTATAGGAGGTTCATGGGAGGTTTATGGGAGGTTTATGGGAGGTTTATGAGGGGGGGTCATGGGAGGTTTATTGGAGGTTTATGGGAGGTTTATAGGAGGTTTATGGGAGGTTTATAGGAGGTTTATGGGAGGTTTATGAGGGGGGTCATGGGAGGTTTATGGGAGGTTTATGGGAGGTTCATGGGAGGTTTATGGGTGGGGGGAGGTTTATGGGAGGTTTATGGGAGGTTTATAGGAGGTTCATGGGAGGTTTATGAGTGGGGGGGCATGGGAGGTTTATGGATGGGGGGGCATGGGAGTTTTATGGGAGGTTTATGAGGGGGGGAGGTCATGGGAGGTTCATGGTATGTTCATGGGAGGTTCATAGCAGATTCATGGGTTTCCGGTAAGACAGGTTCATGGGAGGTTTATGGGAGGTTCATGGGAGGTTTATGGGAGATCCATGGGAGATTTTCCGGAGGTGCATGGGAGGTTTATGGGGGTTTATGGGTGGTTCATGGGAGGTTTATGTGGGGTTCATGGGAGGTTTGTGGGAGGTTTGTGGGAGTTTTATGGGATGTTTATTGGATGTTTATGGGAGGTTTATGGGAGGTTCACTGTTACACAAGGTATGGGAGGTACAAAAGAGGCGGGGGGGGGGGGGGGTTCTAGTTGACATTACATTCTTCCTCCACAGTCTGTTACACGACAGTTGATGTTAGTTGTGAAACCCTATCAAATTACCATATTCATTTATACAAAACAAAACGTTTTTCTATTGTGCTTGCTCATTATATATTTGTATGCCTGTTTGTTTGCATACTTGTGTGCCCTGAAAATGCATTATTTAGAATGAGCACTGAATTTTCTTCCTCGGTAACATCTAAAACTGGTGTCAGTAGCTTCCATTCATCTAGCGGGTTTAAATATTTGTCCGTTTAAAAAAAAACAAAAAGACAAACGAAAGCAGAATTGTTGAAGGTGTTCTGTAAGAACATCTGGCCACACGAACGGTAACCGAAACTAAACCTGTCCTTACAGTGTAGCCTCCCCTTATTTCATGACTAAAATGTAGGTTAACGCCATAAATTCAGGCTTGACAGCCTATTATAAACTTCTTTAACCGCCTATATACTGTATAACACCGTTTAAAAGTATAAAAACTGACGCAAATTATACTAAAATACGGTATATCTAGGTCAGAGTTTTGTTGGTTATTTACCTATGAAAAAGTCAAGGTGATCTGAAAAAAAAAAATTTCCACCGTTCTTGCTCTGTAGACATCTCGTCCTGTGTTTTAGGGCGCTATTGTTAGCCCAGGCCGACACAATTCTCTAAACAATCTCGGTACACGTTAGAGGTTGAGGCTGTACGCAGATTATATAGCATGAAGGTGGTTGGAATGGTTTGTCGTTTTGTTAGACTCTTGTAATTTAATGGGTAGAGTTGTGATATAGAGCAATGAGGCTGCCCATCTTTTTATTTATTCTTTTTTTTTGGGCAAAATTTCTACTAATGGCAACAGTTGTATGAATACATTAACATAATTATCTGATACATTCTTCCTATAACGCACGCTACTTAAGTTTTGAAGTTGTTTCTAGTGTAGATGGTACTATTGATTTTATGTAGGAAGATGTTACTCTTATCAAATATAGCAAAACGTCACTATTTTATTGTGTTATGGCTTAGTTCTGTGTGTGAGATGGAGTGTTTGTGTGTGTGTGTGTGTGTGTGTGTGTGTGTGAAAGTACTTAAAATATATTTTATGCCTGGTCGTGGCCTGTAAAAACGTTACTTAACGTCAGAGTGATAGAGGGTAAAGGGCCAAACTTTTAGTTTAAGTTATAAAATATGTGTATGATCCCTACATCCGTTCACATCTTTATTTTCTACTGTTTGTTTTTTATCAGCACATTGTCAATATATATTTTTTTAAACATAATTTGGTCAATTAGAAATTCATCGTTTTTAAATTTTAAGTTTTAAATACGAAACCAGCTGGCTACAGGCCTGTCCATTCTAGTCGCGGGTTGTCCAATCAATTACCTCACTCTAGTCGCGGGTTGTCCAATCAATTACCTCACTCTAGTCGCGGGTTGTCAAATCAATTACCTCACTTCAGTCGCTGGTTGTCCAACCAGTTACCTCACTCTAGTCGCGGGTTGTCCAACCAATTACCTCACTCTAGTCGCGGGTTGTCCAACCCATTACCTCACTCTAGTCGCGGGTTGTCTAATCAATTACCTCACTCTAGTCGCGGGTTGTCTAACCAATTACCTCACTCTAGTCGCGGGTTGTCCAATCAATTACCTCACTCTAGTCGCGAGTTGTCAAATCAATTACCTCACTGTAGTCGCAGGTTGTCCAATCAATTACCTCACTCTAGTCGCGGGTTGTCAAATTAATGACCTCACTCTAGTCGCGGGTTGTCTAACAAATTACCTCACTCTAGTCGCGGGTTGTCTAATCAATTACCTCACTCTAGTCGCGGGTTGTCCAACCAATTACCTCACTCTAGTCGCGGGTGTCAAATCAATTACCTCACTCTAGTCGCGGGTTGTCCAACCCATTACTTCACTCTAGTCGCGGGTTGTCCAACCTATTACCTCACTCTAGTCGCGGGTTGTCCAATCAATTACCTCACTCTAGTCGCGAGTTGTCAAATCAATTACCTCACTGTAGTCGCAGGTTGTCCAATCAATTACCTCACTCTAGTCGCGGGTTGTCAAATTAATGACCTCACTCTAGTCGCGGGTTGTCTAACAAATTACCTCACTCTAGTAGCGGGTTGTCTAATCAATTACCTCACTCTAGTCGCGGGTTGTTCAACCAATTACCTCACTCTAGTCGCGGGTGTCAAATCAATTACCTCACTCTAGTCGCGGGTTGTCCAACCCATTACTTCACTCTAGTCGCGGGTTGTCCAATCAATTACCTCACTCTAGTCGCGGGTTGTCCAACCCATTACTTCACTCTAGTCGCGGGTTGTCTAACCCATTACCTCACTCTCGCGGGTTGTCCCACCCATTACCTCACTCTAGTCGCGGGTTGTCCCACCCATTACCTCACTCTAGTCGTGGGTTGTCCAACCCATTACCTCACTCTAGTCGCGGGTTGTCAAATCAATTACCTCACTCTAGTCGCGGGTTAGCTAACCAATTACCTCACTCTAGTCGCGGGTTAGCTAACCAATTACCTCACTCTAGTCGTGGGTTGTCCAACCCATTACCTCACTCTAGTCGCGGGTTGTCAAATCAATTACCTCACTCGATTCGCGGTTTAGCTAACCAATTACCTCACTCTAGTCGTGGGTTGTCCAACCCATAACCTCACTCTAGTCGCGGGTTGTCCAACCAAGTACCTCACTCTAGTCGCGGGTTGTCAAATCAATTACCCCACTCTAGTCGCGGGTTGTCCAACCAATTCCTTCACTCTAGTCGCGGATTGTCCAACCAACTACCTCACTCTAGTCGCGGGTTGTCCAACCAATTACTTCACTCTAGTCGCGGGTTGTCCAACCAATTACCTCACTCTAGTCGCGGGTTGTCTAAACAATTACTTGATCCCAGTCGCGGGTTGCTGCTCTCGAAGATGTATGGCTTGATGCAGCCTATTTGATAACCTTGAACCTAGTGACATATTCTCAAGGTCAAGTCGGCTATTGTTTTAATTCAGTTTTCACCACTTTTAGCGACAAGCACGTAGATACTAGGTCGATCGTAACTCGTTAAGGTAGTCGATAGCGAATAGGTCACGACACACTGTCTTGATGTGTTCAAATGACATACTGTGCTGATGAGTTCAAATGACACTGCATTTGTGTGTAAATGACACACCATGCTGAGGTGTGCAAATGACACTCTGTGCTGGTGTGTACAAATGTCACACTGTGCTGGTGTGTGTAAATGACACACTGTGCTGTGTGTGTAAATGACACACTGTGCTGTGTGTGTACAAATGTCACACTGTGCTTGTGTGTGTAAATGACACACTGTGCTGTGTGTGTAAATGACACACTGTGCTGTGTGTGTACAAATGTCACACTGTGCTGGTGTGTGTAAATGAAACACTGTGCTGTGTGTGTACAAATGTCACACTGTGCTGGTGTGTGTAAATGATACACTGTGCTGTGTGTGTAAATGACACACTGTGCTGTGTGTGTACAAATGTCACACTGTGCTGTGTGTGTACAAATGTCACACTGTGCTGGTGTGTGTAAATGAAACACCATGCTGTGTGTGTAAATGACACACTGTGCTGTGTGTGTACAAATGTCACACTGTGCTGTGTGTGTACAAATGTCACACTGTGCTGGTGTGTGTAAATGAAACACCATGCTGGTGTGTGTAAATGACACACTGTGCTGGTGTGTGTAAATGACACACTGTGCTGGTGTGTGTAAATGAAACACCATGCTGGTGTGTGTAAATGACACACTGTGCTGGTGTGTGTAAATGACACACTGTGCTGGTGTGTGTAAATGACACACTGTGCTGGTGTGTGTAAATGAAACACCATGCTGGTGTGTGTAAATGACACACTGTGCTGGTGTGTGTAAATGACACACTGTGCTGGTGTGTGTAAATGACACACTGTGCTGGTGTGTGTAAATGAAACACCATGCTGGTGTGTGTAAATGACACACTGTGCTGGTGTGTGTAAATGACACACTGTGCTGGTGTGTGTAAATGACACACTGTGCTGGTGTGTGTAAATGAAACACCATGCTGGTGTGTGTAAATGACACACTGTGCTGGTGTGTGTAAATGACACACTGTGCTGGTGTGTGTAAATGACACACTGTGCTGGTGTGTGTAAATGTAAACCTGTAGTGACACACCACTTGTGACGACACTGAAATGGAGTTATAGTTTGACATATATCACATATCCTTGATAACATCTTAAATATCACCTTTCCGTTTCAATATTGGTATTTATTGTTGTATTTCTGATATGTTAAAAAAATATAATAATATCTGAATTCTTCTCTCTAAAAATAAGAACTATTTTAAAGAAATACAATTTTAATAATCACCCACATGTCTTACTAAATAATGGTGCATTATATTTGGACACAATTATTGTGTCAAATTACTGCAACTTGCTGATGTAATCTAAACCAGGAACAATGGATGTGTGTCTTATAAAGCAGAAGAGTGGGTGATATTTTAAATAGAGTCAAACGGTTCGTGATTCAGACGCGTTAATAGGACAGACTGTATCTCTAACTCCAAACTCTTTATCATTGTACGAGTCGGAATACATGAGGTAGCCTCAACCAATGGCTGGTGGTGTTGGTAGATGGTGTAACGTAGAATTATGTGAAGTCTTGTTAGTGTTGGTAGCTTCAGTGGCGTCGCTAGGTCGGGTGTCACCCGGTGCGGCAACCAATGGTGTTACCCCCCTCCACGAAAAAAATCTATATATAGGCCTATATATATATATATATATATATATATATATATATATATATATATATATATATATATATATATATATATATATATATATATATATATATATATACCCCACCCGCAGTCCTGACGTGGATAGACGTGTCAGTTATTACAATTCTCAAGAAAACCTTTTTCTCCAAGCAAGTTTTGCAACGTTTAGTTGGTTTAACACCCCCTCCACCCGGTGATATCTTCAAACTGTGCACAGATAATACTAACGATGCCCATCTATAGTCGCTTATAAATACTTTTTAACTCTAATTAATCATTTATTTAACTGGAATAATATTTTTTTTCTAGATATATTTTGCTATTTATGCCTAAATGGTGTCACCCGGTTTTTAAAAACTAATAGACTATAATTCGTAATCACTGAAAATAATGGCATGGGTTCATCCATTTGTGTCATCCACAAAAATTAGAAATATCTCATGGACAAATGATCTCCGTACAAAAGATATCAGGACAAATGATCTCATATCTCAAGGACAAATGATACAATTTTTAACATTTGGTTGAAGATCTGTATAATACATTTAGGCCCGTGTAACCAAGTTTTAAAAAAGCCCAAATTTACCCTATGCACACAATTAATTAATTAAATCCTTTTTTTTAGAATTACTACGGTGCAGCGAAAACAATTTTGTCGGACAACCCATTGGGTCTGACATGCGGCATGGTGTGTCCAACATCCGACCTGTGTGTGGGTGGTTGCAACTTGTACGCATCTGAGGAAGGACCAATCAACATTGGCGGCTTACAGCAGTTTGCTATTGAGGTAACGTTCGTCGAAATTACTAAAATAACAGTATCATTGTCCACTAGACTTACTTCTATGTTTTAGTAATTTATTTTTTTAAAATCTTATCTAAATATACATTTGAAATTTGAAATTTTAAAAAATATGAAATGCTAAAAATACTAACTTTGACAAGGAACAAAATAATAAACATTATTAAATAATTTTAACTAAAGTTTTCAATTAAATAAACTAATGAAACTCAACCCAATGAAAAATGTAATAGTTTCCTTTTTTTTACCAATATTTGTTAAACACATCAATTCATCATACTGTTAGTACTGTAACATTGTGGGGACAATGATTGTTCTCACATAATCCGCAGACAGATTGTTTTCACGAATCATAATAATACAGCTAGGCTATTGTACACACGTCTTATAGCCGTACAGGATAGACTTACTTTCTTGGAGAAAAAAATGTTTTAAATCACCATTGATAGTTTTCTGATGACCTTTCCCTGCACATACAGATCTTCAAAAGGATGAGGGTACCACAGATCAGGGACCCGAGCCTCCCCCCTGTGGACCAGCTACCTGACAGCTACAGGGCCAAGGTAGCTCTAGTGGGCTGTGGGCCGGCCAGCATCAGTTGTGCTAGCTATCTAGCCAGGCTCGGATATACAGACATTACAGTGTTTGAGAAAAAAAATTACATCGGTGGTCTAAGGTACCAGTTTCTTTTTAACTTTACTTGATACTTCAATTATTAAAACACTTGTATTCAAATGATGTTTAAATTACCATACCTTAATGAACTTGGTGTAAGACTATTATACTATTATACACAATTATTGAAAGAAAAAATTGTTATAAAATTTTGTTTGTTTTATTTACAGTTCTTCAGAGATTCCTCAGTACCGATTGCCTTACAGTGTAGTGGAGTTTGAAGTAGATTTGATGAAAGATCTCGGTGTCAAGGTAAAAACATTCTTACTCATTCATCTAACAGTTTTATTTTTTACATTTTCATTTAAATAAGGATTGAAAAAAACCTTTGAATTTTATAGAGATATTAGGACCTACTTATTGACCTAGACAATTTATTTCTCCTCCAGGTTGTGACCAACAGAGCATTAGATCCATCTGATTTAACTGTGTCTTCTCTCAGGGAGCAAGGATACAAGGCTATCTTTCTTGGCATTGGTAGGAAGAGTTCATTTCCGTTGCTTTGATTTTTAAACAAATGCAATAGGATACATATAAGAAAATAAATTTTAATTAGTTTTCTAATGTTATAAACTAATATAAGTATAGTCAATATAAGGTTTAATTACTGGACTACTTTTTATCTATAACACTGAGTTTTTAAAAAATCTAATTAGGATTTAAACACCTGTTTTTATCTAACACATAGCCCTATGTAAAAACAATGTTTTTTTTAAAAATCTGACATGCATATATAAAACAGTGTTTTATTTTAACAAGAAAATAAATACAGAGTGCTTTTATCTAACAAGTATATAAACACAGTATATATTTGTCCTACAGGTTTACCAGATCCAAAGAAAATTGGAATTTTCAAAGATTTAAAACAAGAGCAAGGATTTTACACTTCAAAAGATTTTCTGCCTGTTGTTGCTCAGGCTAGTAAAGCAGGTACTTTCAAGTGTAAATAATATATAGGAATTAACTATGATTTAGATAATGATAAAATCAGAAAGATATGAACATATTTTTGTTAATGTTGTAAGTTTGAATAAAGTAAACACATTTACCCAGGACTACCAATGCATTGGGCATTTGTGTAGGTTTATAGAAGTGAAAAGACCGCCAACATATCTTTACTATTGATTCAATGGCGTATTAATAATTTATAAATTCTCTCAGAGATTTACCATTGTTTAATTGTTTCTGTATGTTTGATTAACGAGCCAATGTTCCCAAGAAGGTGCAACTCTTTTTTTGTGTTTGTATAAATGACCACAAATGTTCCCAGAAATGTGCCACCAATTTCTTGTTTCTGAATGAATGAACAAAATTTTTTCCCAGGAATGTGCCACACTTTTCTTGTGTTTGAATGAATGAACAAAAATTATCCCAAGAAGGCGGCACTGTTTCCTTGTGACTGAATGATTAAACACATTTTGTTCCCAGGAATGTGCCACTGCAAGTCCCAGCTACCAAGTCTCCATGGAAACGTGATAGTGCTGGGTGCTGGAGACACTGCCTTTGACTGTGCCACCTCTGCCCTGAGGTGCGGAGCAAAGAAAGTTTTTGTTGTCTTTAGGAAAGGTTTCACAAACATCAGAGCAGTGCCAGAAGAGGTGGGTTGTGTGCATGGAATAAAATAAGCCTAATTATGCTAATATAGACTACTTAAGTATCTGGTTATTTTTCCATAAAACTATATAATTTGGGTTATGTTTGAACCTTGAAAACAATAATTTATCTTGCACTCTTTTATCACATCTGTGTAGTTTCAAATTAGGCATATAGCTCACTGCTCAAACACATTACTCTGTGTATTATATTTAATTTATGTACAGTTTTTAAAGATATTACATTTATTTGAATATTTTGAATATAAAATTTATTTTGAATACTTTATACATTGTATATTTTAGATATTTTTATAAGTTTCTAACATTTTCTTTATTCATAATCAAGAAAATAAAGAAATTATTAACTTTTGTAAGTTTTTACACATTGCTAACAATATAATAACATTTCCATCAACCTGTAAAAATCATGTAACCTATTTTAACATCGATGACTTGTACTAGGCTTATAACAATTGTATGTAGATCAAATAAAAATTTGAAACCAGTCCCATGTGTTCAACAGATGGAGTTGGCAAAAGAAGAAAAATGTGAGTTCCTGCCATTCCTCTCACCCAAGAGTGTACAAGTCAAAAATGACCGTATCTGTGGGATGGAGTTCTTGAGAACAGAACAAACAGAAACCGGTGACTGGATAGAAGATGAAGACCAAGTGGTGAAACTCAAGGTTGATTACATCATCTCAGCTTTTGGTTCAGGCATCACAGATGATAAATGTCAGTACATTTTGTTCCTATAGCTACGGACTAATTTATTAGAGTTATTACAAAATAGTGTAGATTGAATGGGAATGAACATAATGTTTCTATTGATATTTAGTTCCAATTGCTCCTCTGTTAGATGTATTTTGAATAAGGCCTATAGGCATATTTTTATTGTATTAGCAAATGTTACTGTTTGTGTTAATAATAATAGTAATAAAACTTATTTTGAAATGGCACAACAGTAGGTATGGATGCTTTTTTACACATTAGCTGTTACTTAAGAAAAATAAATATCAACAACATTTAAATGAAATATTATAGACATGGTAATAACATGGAATAAAGAAATAATTAAAAAAACATAGCAGATTAAAGGATGTAGGCATAAACCAACCTTACTGCATAATCTGCTGTATATTATAAGTCATATATTTTAAATAAAATGATACTGAATTTGTTTTTCCCTATAATGGAAGTTTCAAATAAGTTAGGCCTACTTTTGAAAACTTTATTTAAATTGAAAATAATTTTAAAAAATGTAATGAATGAACCAAACAAATTGCTCAGTGGTTTTTGCCATCATCAATTAACTAAGTTTAGTGGTGTTTATAATTAATTTCAAAAGCATATTGTTTTATAATTAATTGTAATAAAGTAAACTTTAACAATGTAGTGAAAGAAGCAATGGCCCCCGTAAAGCTAAACAAATGGGGGCTGCCAGAAGTGGACACCAACACAATGACCACTAGTGAGGTGGACATCTTTTGTGGGGGAGACCTGGCCGGAGTGGCACAAACAACTGTGGAGTCCGTCAATGATGGGAAGGTGGCAGCGTGGAACATACATAAGTACCTACAGGTAGTTGATCACTGAACATGTAACCTGCAGAGTTGGTTTTATGGAACTCTTATGTTTTTGTAGTACTAATTTAAGTTCAGGTTTAAAATTAATTTGGTTTAGCTTTGAAATTGATTTTTGGGTTAGGGTCAGATGTAAATAATATTAGGTTTAGGATCAAGTTTAAATAGTTCTAAAGTTAGGGTAAGATTTAAATAGTTCTAGGTTTAGGATAAAATTTAAATAGTTCCAGGGTTAGGGTAAGATTTAAATAATTCTAGGGTTAGGATCAGGTTTGAATTGGTTCTAGGATAAGATTTCTTCTTGGGTTAGAGTAGGCTATAGATGACAGCATAAATATATTAGACAACCTTGAGGCTATATAAGCTTTATAAGTCATATTGATGATTTTAAAATTTTGGAATTTTCATATTGTCAGTGTTAAATAGAAAAAAAATTATCCCTACATTTAACATATTGTAAATAGAAATTACCCAATTAACATGTTCATAAAGTTTCCTCTTTCTTCATAAAAAGCATTGTAAGTTTTAGAAGGTAGATAAAATTGATTACTTAAACTATTTCAGCTTCTTACTAACCAGCCCATCCCAGACCAACCAAATCTTCCAAACTTCTTTACACCAATAGACCTAGTTGATGTCTCCATTGAAATGTGTGGTCTCAAGTTTCCAAATCCTTTTGGTCTAGCCTCTGCCACCCCTACCACCAGCAGTGCTATGATTAGGAGAGCTTTTGAAGCAGGATGGGGTTTTGCCTTGACAAAAACATTTTCTCTAGACAAGGTGGGTACCAGATCAATAGCATGTGTGCAAGCAAGGTTGAAACTGTTTTATTTACACATTTGTTGTTCAATTAATTTATTCTAAGTGAATTTTTGTTCAAACTCAATTTCTTTACTTTGGATTTAATGTTTAAATGTTTATTGAATTTTTTTGCCTTACTTTAATATTGTTTTATAAATTTGAATTTAACATTTTTATTTATTTTTAAAAAAAATGGTTTTTTAAATTTATTTAGCAGTGTTTTTTTTTTTCAAAATGAATTCAAAGTAAATAAATATTTTATGTTATTCAAGAAACCTTAACATAGTTATACAAATTCACAGATAAAAAAAATAATTGCTATATATCAGGATCAGGACTAATATGCTATCAGTTTTTAAAAGGTTATTAATATTTTTACTCAAACAATTACTATGACAGAAATATGTTTATCTTTTTATCTATTAACAGTTAATATAAAATGAGAATGTTACTATTATTTTATCCCCTAGCAATGACTATAACAATAAAAACTGTTGTACTTTTGCATGACTGTAGGACATCGTGACAAATGTTTCCCCTCGCATTGTTCGGGGTACCACCAGTGGTCAGTTGTTTGGACCAGGTCAAGGCTCCTTCCTCAACATTGAACTCATCAGCGAAAAGACGGCTGCGTATTGGTGCAAAAGTATTACAGAGCTCAAGCAAGACTTCCCTAACAATGTATGTCCATGTTGTACTATATTTTCAGATAATTTGTTAACAATCTACATCCATGTTATAATTGTCTCATTAGGATATATCTAAATTACTGGTAGTTTTAGTTTTAAAAAAATAGAAAAGATTTCCATTTTGTTTTAATCAATGTAAAAATAATTATTTGATGCAATAGTATCCAAAGAATTAGTATTAGATTCAGTATAGTTGTAATTAATTATTAAAAATTTTATGGTTCATGAATTTCAGATTGTAATAGCTAGTATTATGTGTGGATATATTGAATCAGATTGGACAGAACTGGCAAAAATGGCAGAGGTAGGTCAAATACTTGTATTTCAAGCAATGTTAATTGAATAAACTTAAATTAGATGGTTTTCAATATAGTTATAAAATTACTCATGAGTTAAATGGAATTGTAGGTGTGATTTTTATTTTATTCAATGCATAAAAATTAACTTTCAATTAAGATAAGAAAATCATTTGTGCTACCTATGTTTTGAATGAGATCACAGGAATAGTCCATGTTCCATAGTTTTTTCCAATAAAATAAATAAGCTCATGAATTGTGTGTAAGTAAGCAAAAGATAGTTTTAAACAGATCAAATCCTGTCTAAAAATGAATTGTAGTTGAGACATGAATGTGAACATTTGTTTGAAAAAATAATATTACTTTTTTTATGCTTTGGTATGCTTTAAAAGTGTTGTAATTACTTTTGTTTGCTATTAATTAATTAATGTAATTAACAGGCTGCTGGTGCTGATGCACTAGAACTAAATCTTTCTTGTCCTCATGGCATGGGAGAGCGAGGAATGGGCCTTGCTTGTGGTCAGGTAATGATGGCTTTTAGATCTGTTATTAAAATAACTATATCAATCAAGGCTAGTATGGGACGTTGCAAGTGAAGTTTCAAACAGTTTAATATTTTGATTGTCAGTGGGACACTAGCAGCTTCTGTTTAGTTGGTAAATTTTGTAGACTCTAATAAAATTAATAGTAGAATTTAATTTAACTTGTTCCTTAGTGATTTGTGTTATTGACAACTGATTTAATCATCTATTTCTCCACCAGAAACCTGAACTAGTGTACAATATTTGTCTCTGGGTTAGAAAAGCTGTAAAGATTCCATTTTTCGCCAAGCTGACACCAAATGTCACAAACATTGTTGACATTGCCAAAGCAGCCAAGGAAGGTTAGCTACTATTTGTTTCATTTGAAAATCAAGTCAACTTTTAAACTTTAGTTTTCATTGTTGATTTGTATTAATATTAACATTTTGATCCCTCCCTAGGTCAGGCTGATGGGGTAACAGCTACCAATACTGTCTCTGGTCTGATGGGTCTCAGAAATGATGGCTCAGCCTGGCCAAGTGTAGGAAAAATGAAACGAACCACTTACGGTGGAGTGTCTGGGAATGCAATCCGCCCTATTGCTCTTCGAGCTGTGTCAGCTATAGCTGCAGCCTTGCCAAACTTCCCCATTTTGGCCACTGGGGGCATAGATTCAGCAGATGCTGGGTTGCAGTATATTCACGCTGGGGCATCTGTACTACAGGTAAACCTACAGACAGCTTGATTTTTAAAAACTATTACCTCCAGTAATTATTCACCATTAATATCTTGTTATTATATTAGAACTAAAAAAATATTTGGTTTATTTTTTTTAAATGTTTTCATTATGAAATTTCTTCTACATTAGCAGTAAGTAGTAAGCCTATTTTTAAAAATGCCTAAAAATTCATTGATCCTATTGGTCTCATTATTTAAATTAAAAAATTTATCAACATCATTTTATAAAGCAGGTCTATAATATTAAAAACAAGGAATAATGATTATCTTTTTGCAGTTATTTGATTAACCATCATAAATCCATCTATAGCTTAGCCAGCAGCTAGTGTTGTTAAATAATACTATTTGGTTTCTTTTTATTTGTAGTGTTTCTACTTGTGTTTGTGTTTCTGTATTTAATGAAAGGTGTGTAGTGCAATCCACAATCAAGATTTTACTTTGATAGAAGATTACATTGTTGGCCTAAAAACATTGCTTTACTTAAGAAGTCTGGGCAACTTTTCTGCTTGGGATGGCCAAAGTCCACCAGTGGAGAAGCACCAAAAAGGAAAACCTGTACCAAATATTATTGACTTGGTTGGTAAAGTAAGTATTAAAAGTCAATATTTGTCTGTAACAGCTTCACCTCAATCAGCTTACCTGTAAGGGACAGACCATACTAAAGTTTATACATCTAATTTACTTAGAATACAATTAGTGAAAGTAAAAGGAAAAAACTCTGTTAAAATAGCTGTTAAAATATTCCACTAATTGTTAAAATATTTATTTTATTCTTAGAATGCCAAAAAATATAAAGAATTTGGTTCGTTGTGTTAAAAAATTATTTATAAAAAATGTTATGTAATTTTTAAACAATGTAAATAGTGAGATGATGTGTTTGTTTCATATTTGTGATTTAGTTTCTATAATTTTGACATTCATTTTGTATTAATAAATAATTATTATGTTTCGCGTGGATTTTTTAAATAATTGTGTTATACTTGAAAAATTATGATTTCAATCATTCATATATTTCATACATTTTGTTTTTTCTTGCGTGGGGAATTATTTCCGAAATATGTTTTTTCTAGCCTAAGTATTTTAAAGATATATTTTTTCTGGACCCAAATATTTTGAGATTTATTTCTTTTGGTCAAATTATTTTAAAAGATTTGTTTCTGTTTTTCCAGGCTCTGCCATCTTTTGGCCCCTACCAGAAACAGCGTGAAGCAATTATTGCTGGCTTAAAGCAAAAATTGGATCTCTTGGATGAATCCCAACAGCCAATGCCAAACAGACCTGCTTATGAGCAGACCAGGTCTGTTCCCAAACTCTCAGATCTGATTGGTGATGCTGTAGACAGGATAACTTCATACAATGAGTTGGACAATACTGACCAAGTAATTGCTCTAATTGATGAGGTCAGTATCTATCTTATATTCAGTTTTATTACCAATGAAAACATCATCTATATTAATTATACTAGCCCACCTATTTCTAAAACTGACCATGCCGCTTCCTTAATTTTATTTGCATTACTTTCCGTCAAGCGTAAAATAGCAGTATGCCCACTGTAGCCAATAATTTTTATTTTGGTCAGGACATGTGCATCAACTGTGGAAAATGCTACATGACTTGCAATGACTCTGGCTACCAGGCTATCACATTTGACCCAGAAACTCACCTGCCAAGAGTTAATGAAAAAGACTGCACAGGTATTTTGGTATTCTAACAAAACCTAAGGAATAAAAAAAAAAGACTAATTGAATATTCTATTATGACAATATGTCCTTTTTTAAAAAGTAAATGGTTATTTATTTCTTAAAGAGGTAACCTAGCTAAGTATTATGAACCCTGCATTCCCAGGCTGTACCCTGTGTTTGTCTGTATGCCCCATCATTGAGTGCATCAAGATGATACCTCGCAAGGATCCCTACAAGCCAAGACGAGGAATACCACTCAACACGTCCTCAGTCAACAACACACCAGCAGTTGTCCTGGCCACCAATTGAACTCCAGCCTTTTGAAGACTGCTGGTTTTATAATTGTATAGTATTTTTCTCTGTTATTCACTATCTGGTTGAGTAGATTTACATACAAAACAAAACATATTTAAAATTTAAGTGTGTTATTGTATAGTTTTAAAAATGTTTTTTCTCTTATTGTTAATACATATTAAAATAGCAAAGCAAAACACAAATACTTAAAAATTCAGTCTATCTGAGTGGGCATTATAAGAACACAGGATGCATGCAATGCTCTTGTCATATGTACAACCATTCACTTAGATATCACACTCTTTTTAAAGATGTAGGATAGTAGGCCTATTATATTGTTTCTTTGTCAAAAACTATTGCACAAGCTAGGAAAAAAACCACAAAGAGTTACATGTGTTTATTTTGTTAAAAACTGTCGTGTGTAGCAAAATTGTGTGAATTACAACTGTTAGATAATAATATAAGACATAACACTTTATCTCTTGTGTTATTGTTACTGCTAATAAATTTCCCCGGTGATGAGCTTTAAATGGTATTGAGCTTTAAAAATTGATTTGAATTCATATTAGAAAAATGCATTACAAAGCTTCCTCTTTGTGAGCTTTGCCAGTTACAATTTACTCCAGATTTAACATGCATACTCTTTTTGAGTGTAGCATTTTTTAAATATTGTGCTTTGTTTTTTATTTTGTTATAAAAATAAATATATCAAAATATAATTTCAAATTTTAGCTGTTGTAATTGTTATGATATATTTCTATACAGAAAAATGTATCCAACATTAACTAAGTCATTTCTCTGAAAATAAAAGTTTGATGAGTGGTACAAATAGTTTAAGTATTTTATTGAATTTTAAAGTCAGTGTTTGTTTTGTTGTAGCTACTTATCCTACTGAATGATGTATAATCAATCATCTTTGTAGACAAACTTTCAAATGTAAGACTATGTAACAAACAAAACCGTTTAACAAAGTTTCATTAAAAATTGGAGAAAGCCAGATTTGATTGTCAATTGTTTTCCTGTTTTATTTTAAAAGTACACAATCTAATACCACATAACAACATGAAAATCTCTACCCTTATTTAGGAATAAATACTAATGAGTACTGTCAGATTGATATTAACTTTACTATTGAATACATTTTTAAGGAATATTAAACTAAAGTAATTACTGCACTTAATAAAATGTATATTGTACTTATTACAACATGATTCTAACAGACTAAAACGTAAAATAACCTGTATGTTATAAACAAAATAACAGTATTGATTTTTAATATAAAAGAGATACACAAAATTCTATAACAATATATATATCAGCATAATGAGAAGTATAATTACAAGCTGGTCACAAGTTGGCACACTGCTCAGAAGAATTAAGAGGCCGCTGTTCTATTCATGGAGTCAGAGAATGTTTTAATGCCTTGGTATACAGTCATGTACTGCTGCTGTTGTCAGATAAAATTATCAGTTGAAACATTTCCTTAGCAAATATTATAATGGGATGGGGAGCTATGGGTCTAGTGTGTGGAGGTTATTCACAAATCTTATAATGCCATGAAACCATAATCAATGTAAGTACATGATCCCTAATTGCTAGTACGTACATGTTGCATACAATAATTTACTGGATCTAGAGATTCAAGATTTGATTAACAGTAGCTACATATCTTAGGATATAAAAGCATTACTCCAATACAAGGAGTATTAGAGTGTATCTCTAGGCCTACATTGTAGGTTTCAATATCATTGACTAGGCAGCCTAGGATTCAAAATTAAAGGGTTATCATATGTTTTGAGTAAAGTTTTTTTTTTATGGCGTTAAATACTTAGTGTTTGAAATTGTGACAGTCATGAAAACTAGTTTTTATTCTTAATTTCATTATATATATATATATATATATATATATATATATATATATATATATATATATATATATATATATATATATATATATATATATATATATATATATATATATATATATATGTATGTATATATATATGTATGTATATATATATATATATACATATATGTAGGAATGACTTGTTGTCTGGCTGATTTGATTTGACAAACATAAAACTTACCACTGTAGGAATGACTTGACCAACACAAAACTTACCACTGTAGGAATCTTCTTCTTCTTCTTCGTTCTTAATTATTAGTGTTGAAGGGGATCGAGATTTATCTGCCAGTGGGTTTGGTTTGAACTCGAGACTTTGTTCGAATTCATCAACCATGAGCTTTTTGCCGACTCGACCACGCCTCCAACACAATTAAGCGTTACGTGTCAACTGGTTATGCGCCATTGAGGCCATTGACTCCGATTTCAGCCTGCTTTTCTTTTTGGATTTGCTTCCATAGCCTTTGTCCAACCAAGAACAAACTACAAGGCAGTAGTTGTTTTAATTTTGGAGTTGTCTCTCCTAGAAGAGTGGCTGTCCCCAGCTAACGAGCCTCATCTGCCCGAGGGTTCGAACTCGAGACTTTTCGGTTAAGCAACCATGAGCTTTACCGACTCGACCACGCCGACCCCCTACTGTAGGAATGACTTGACCAACACAAAACTTACCACTGTAGGAATGACTTGACCAACACAAAACTTACCACTGTAGGAATGACTTGACAAACACAAAACTTACCACTGTAGGAATTACTTGACCTATACAAAACTTACCACTGTTGAAATGACTTGACCAATACAAAACTTACCACTGTTGAAATGACCTGTTGTCTGATTGATTTGACCCTGCCAACAGCGAGGGGAACAGTCATCATATGGTCTCTCTCCAACCTATCCACCAGTACAGTCAAAACACAGGCCAACCCGCTGTACTTGGCACCATCTCTATGGGATAAGTGGTAAAAGACATAGGATAAATAGGATTTTTATTACAAAAACTTGAAGCACAAGCTATCATTAATTGTTTTTAATTTAAATCTGTCCAACAATTTAATTATTTTAAGTTAAACATGTCCAAGCGAATTGTTTTAAATTATTCCTGTCCAACCCAATTAAATATTTTAAATTAAATTTGTCCAGAAGAATAATACGGCAAATTTAATAATTGCCGGCAGTATATGTAATTAATCAAAATGAAAAGTGCAACCGATGTATTTTGTCATTAATTGGTTAGGCCTGATAAGTTAAATAAATGCAGACAGGTAATCGACTAAAATGAAATGCTTATTTTATCTTGCCTGCATGTGTAGATGACTGCCCCTTCTTCAGTCCTCTTGGATCGGGCATGTAAAATAAATGGTAAGAAGATTCTGACAACAACGTCGTTGATATTAGCTGTGTACTTCAGATGGGTCACTTGGTGGTTCGTTGATTTATTCTAAAATAACAAACAGTGGGCGTATAGATACTTTTAATCACAACAGAAAATATTAAGTTCAAGGCAGTCAATGGGATAAAGGAGGGAGATTACCCTGTGATGAAGCTGGCTACTACGGCCTCTACTAGACACTCCATCCATTCAAACAGCTGTTCTATACAGGCGTTTTGATTTATTTGTCTTAGTTCGCCTAAAGATTGACAACTAAAGACAGATTTAATTAGAATCTAGATCTGTACAGTTAGTCTCTACAACAATAAGGCCTAGATCTGTCTTCTAATTAATTGAAAGCTATATTTTTACCGAGACTACTAGAGACTTTTCCTCCCAGTCTGTTTGTGTTATCAGATTTTGAAGGCTTACGTTGATGTTCCCACATTGCAATGGGCTGTCATAATCTTCCGGTATGTAATCTCCTATCGTCTAAAAAAATGGTAATTTTGGATTATTCAATATTAAAGTATATTCAAGTATGAAGTATGAATGTAGTTGTAATAAATAACCAGTGAAATAAATTAATACTTAAATTAACTATTCCTCAGCTTAAAGTTTACAGATCACTCTCCAATACTAAATCTAATACAGCAGGTAATGCAGGCCTAATAAAAAAAGATAAATGATAAAAGTTACAGCATCTTTATCTTTGAGGTCCGATTCAAATGCCACAATAAGCGTGACGTTGTGTTGTATGACCAGTCTCCAAAAGTCTGTGACTGTTGTAGGGAGCGGTAGCTGAGTCAGGATCTGTTGTGAGAGTTTGTTGAAGTCCTGCACAGGATAATAAAAGGGTGTTTGTGAATAACGTCACGCTAAGATTAAAGGAAGCGGTTGCTATAAATAAATCATAAATAATGTAAGCCGAAAAATAAAACAATGAAAAAGAAAAGGAACCTCACCGGCACAAAGATTGCATTGATGTAATCGTCTTCATCTTCTTCATCAATTTGTAGTAGAGGTCTGTACCTCTCCTCTGTGGGAGACACAAATGACCAGCATGTTAACCGAGATCTACCAGGTTTGACATTAGCCAGATAAGAGTAAGACTAGCCGTTTAATGCTGAGTTCGGCTTTATTAGGCCACTCTAGGGACGCGGACATCACAGGCTAAGGGTCCCGTCCCCCATTATCCAGACAGGCCTACAAACAGCAAGCTCCTAATTGGGGTTTCGTGGAAGATGATGATGTTAGGCTTTCTACCCCACTGTACCACATCAATCTCGAGATTTGTACCAGACTGTACTTCGTCAGACTCGAGCTTTGTACCAGACTGTACCTCATCAATCTCGAGCTTTGTACCAGACTGTACCTCACCGAACGTTGTACCAGACTGTACTTCGTCAGACTCGAGCTTTGTACCAGACTGTACCTCATCAGACTCGAGCTTTGTACCAGACTGTACCTCATCAGACTCGAGCTTTGTACCAGACTGTACCTCATCAATCTCGAGCTTTGTACCAGACTGTACCTCATCAATCTCGAGCTTTGTACCAGACTGTACCTCATCAGACTCGAGCTTTGTACCAGACTGTACCTCACCGAACGTTGTACCAGACTGTACCTCGTCAGACTCGAGGTTTGTACCAGACTGTTGACACGTAGTATCTAACACGGCGGTCTTTAGAACATTATACACAATATTTAATCTTTTATGAAGTGGATTTTCATAACACTAGCGTACCCGTCCAGCATGTTGCTGGGTAACGTATTAGGGGGGGTGGCGACATGGGGGAGACACGTGGCTAGTTAAACCGGTCAATAAAGCAAAAGGAAGTAGGAACACCAGAGAAGATGATAGAAGATTAATTAGTTACAGTTTACAGATACACCTTCTAATGATAAATTGAGGAAAATAAACATTTTTATTTAAAAAAAAAATATAATTTTGTCTTTACACCAAGTTATAGACAAACCTACTGAAATATATTTTATTTTAAATTTTAGGAAATATGTTGAATACATAATATGTTGCATACAAGTGTTGCTGATCAATGGCGAATGATAAAAAGACGATCTTGTTATACATACTCGGTAAAATGTCGTGGCATCTATTTTTACTTTTGTTCTTTTCTGCACTGTTTTCTTCGCCATATTCACCTTGCAGCACTGAAGTCACGTATGAAATTTTCTAAAAGTAAATTTTAAACCAACGTTAACAGCGGTTAGACTTAATAGTTTTCACAGCAGTTTACATATCAATACTGTAGAATATTATTGATTACTAACAGCGGTTAGACTTAATAGTTTTCACAGCAGTTTACATATCAATACTGTAGAATATTATTGATTACTAACAGCGGTTAGACTTCATAGTTTTCACAGCAGTTTACACATCAATACAGTAGAATATTATTGATTACAAACAGCGGCTTAGCCATGATAGTGGGGCGGATTCAAATTGTGTGCGTGTGTGTGCGCGCGTGTGTGTGTTTGTGTGTGTGTGTGTGTGTGCAGCGGGGCAGGTGACAATACAAACTGGTGGACACCTTGGACTAACTAGGAATCCCAGTAATTTAATATATAGTTTTATAACATGCAACCGATGTACAACATCCAAGAAAAACATATAAAATATATAAACTTTAAAATTCATGATGACATCTAGCTAGTTCATAAAACGAATATAAGAGGACTATAACCCAGTCATCAGCAAGGAGTACATTTAAAATTACTCAGCTACAATCGCATTTCAAGAAGACAGTCGTACCAAGCAATGTTACAAATATTTGCAGTAGTTTGTTCACTGTTGGAAATATTTTTGCCACACATTAAAAGAACTAGATGAGTGGAGCTGCTGCAGATTTCAGGATTAATGTCTCTGGTGAATTTGCAATAAAGATTGTCGTTCTTGTGTGTTAAAAACGTTGTATGCGCGATCAAAGATTTTCACGTAGTTTCTGATGGTTCGCAGTCATCAGGTGTTTAATTGTATGATGCGCAATTCACGTGAAAACGAACTTAAATTTCTCATCATTATTGTTGCGCCCCGTGTAGTCGATTACTTATTGCAGCGGCTCCATCATATCATTGACCGATCATACAATTACCGTCTATGTCTAAATTTGCTAGAGTGTCCATTAAATTATTTGCAAATCCTATGCCTTTTTAGATCGGTTACACTTACAAAACTGTATGTTGTTATCATAGTATCGAACATATAACGGAAAACATTTCCTATACCAGCTACATCACTAGTTCTATCGGCTATGACAGTACACAACTGACAGACGTAGTAATCTTTTGAAAAATTCATTTTTATGGAAATATTTTTGGTGATAAGTACTTAGAGAAGGAATAATACCATCTTTATCATTCTCAGTTCTGCTTTAGTTTTTGGAAAGAAAGCAGTTAATGTAGTGGTTTTCAATTTCCCTTTTCCATCTGCCATCATTGAAACGAATTTCAAATTGTGTGAAGTTGTAAAAACAAACAATTGAAAAAAAATCACTATGCGTAAAGGAAAATCAGTCTTTTATTAATTCCTCTTTGATGGCTTTCTTTTCTTAACAGTCTACCGTAGGTTTCTGACTCTATAGGTCCTATATATTTTATCTGCCCAGTTTCTCCCCCACCCAGGGTCAACAATCATGGGTCCTGCCCACGGCTTCCCGTCGGATGTGCATTATGTCGCACAATATCCTATGTACTACCCACGTTCATCCCCACCCCCAACCCCCTCAGCATCCCTTATCTGATCTAAACTTTGTCAGCTTAACCTTTGCCTACTGCGATCCAGATCACAATAAATTAACTTTACGCGATGACGGCAACTAAGAGCTAAAGCCAATTCTCTTTACAGTAGTATTTATTGTTGTTGTAAAGGCTGAAATCGTGAGAGTGAGAGTTTAGTTTGTAAGCCCTACTAGATGATAGCGACTCAAGTCTATCGACGTCAACAGCGTTATCCAAACTTAAAATGGTTGTCATTGGGGGGGGGGGGGGGTCTATGGAAGTGTGTTGGGGGGGTCGTTAAGAACCCTCTATGACTACGCCACTGATTCCAAAATCACTACACCGTGTCGACTGTCATGTGGAATCGATATAGGTGGGGCAATGTTCCCCTATCAAACTATTTAGAAACTAAGTTGATTTTAAGATAACCTAATTGTGCCTTATTTTTAAGAATCCAACATATAAAAGTTGTAAAAATAATGTGCAGCAAACATAAATGTAGGCTACATGCTATTTTTTTATTGTTGGGTTAGATTGTTCCAAATAATTCACTTAAGGCTCCTTATTGGCAAAAGTTTATGGTTCGTTGCATGAAATTACAAAAACCTAAAATGACCAGTTATATACTTACATTAAACTCTGATTCAAAAGTTTCCTGTCCTGGTTTAGGGTGATCTAATTGGAACACTTTTAGAAAAATGTCCTCAAGTTTAATAAAAGTATCGACACACGCCAGAGCAACTTGTGTAGCCTCGTGGAGGTAGATGAACTGATCCTGTGGAGAGTTGTAGAACACATTGAGAGGGTGTGCTCTTCACAGAATTCATAGTCGTAGTTGTAGAACACACACAGAGAGTGTGCTCTTCACAGTTTTATAGTCGTAGTTGTAGAACACACAAAGAGAGTGTGCTCTTTACAGTTTTATAGTCATAGTTGTAGAACACGCACAGAGAGTGTGCTCTTTACAGTTTTATAGTCATAGTTGTAGAACACACACAGAGAGTGTGCTCTTTACAGTTTTATAGTCGTAGTTGTAGAACACACACAGAGAGTGTGCTCTTTACAGTTTTATAGTCATAGTTGTAGAACACACACAGAGAGTGTGTGCTCTTCACAGAATTCATAGTCGTAGTTGTAGAACACACACAGAGAGAGTGTGCTCTTTACAGTTTTATAGTCATAGTTGTAGAACACACACAGAGAGTGTGCTCTTCACAGAATTCATAGTCGTAGTTGTAGAACACACACAGAGAGAGTGCTCTTTACAGTTTTATAGTCATAGTTGTAGAACACACACAGAGAGTGTGCTCTTCACAGAATTCATAGTCGTAGTTGTAGAACACACACATAGAGTGTGCTCTTTACAGTTGTATAGTCGTAGTTGTAGAACACACACTGAGAGTGTGCTCTTTACAGTTGTATAGTCATAGTTGTAGAACACACACACAGAGAGTGTGCTCTTTACAGTTTTATAGTCGTAGTTGTAGAACACACACACAGAGAGTGTGCTCTTTACAGTTTTATAGTCGTAGTTGTAGAACACACACAGAGAGTGTGCTCTTTACAGTTTTATAGTCGTAGTTGTAGAACACACACAGAGAGTGTGCTCTTCACAGAATTCATAGTCGTAGTTGTAGAACACACACATAGAGTGTGCTCTTTACAGTTTTATAGTCGTAGTTGTAGAACACACACACAGAGTGTGCTCTTCACAGAATTCATAGTCGTAGTTGTAGAACACACACACAGAGAGTGTGCTCTTTACAGTTTTATAGTCATAGTTGTAGAACACACACACATAGAGTGTGCTCTTTACAGTTTTATAGTCATAGTTGTAGAACACATTGAGAGGGTGTGCTCTTCACAGAATTCATAGTCGTAGTTGTAGAACACACACAGAGAGAGTGTGCTCTTTACAGTTTTATAGTCATAGTTGTAGAACACACACAGAGAGTGTGCTCTTCACAGAATTCATAGTCGTAGTTGTAGAACACACACAGAGAGAGTGCTCTTTACAGTTTTATAGTCATAGTTGTAGAACACACACAGAGAGTGTGCTCTTCACAGAATTCATAGTCGTAGTTGTAGAACACACACATAGAGTGTGCTCTTTACAGTTGTATAGTCGTAGTTGTAGAACACACACTGAGAGTGTGCTCTTTACAGTTGTATAGTCATAGTTGTAGAACACACACACAGAGAGTGTGCTCTTTACAGTTTTATAGTCGTAGTTGTAGAACACACACACAGAGAGTGTGCTCTTTACAGTTTTATAGTCGTAGTTGTAGAACACACACAGAGAGTGTGCTCTTCACAGAATTCATAGTCGTAGTTGTAGAACACACACATAGAGTGTGCTCTTTACAGTTTTATAGTCGTAGTTGTAGAACACACACACAGAGTGTGCTCTTCACAGAATTCATAGTCGTAGTTGTAGAACACACACATAGAGTGTGCTCTTTACAGTTGTATAGTCATAGTTGTAGAACACACACACAGAGAGTGTGCTCTTTACAGTTTTATAGTCGTAGTTGTAGAACACACACACAGAGAGTGTGCTCTTTACAGTTTTATAGTCGTAGTTGTAGAACACACACAGAGAGTGTGCTCTTTACAGTTTTATAGTCGTAGTTGTAGAACACACACAGAGAGTATGCTCTTCACAGAATTCATAGTCGTAGTTGTAGAACACACTGAGAGTGTGCTCATTACAGTTGTATAGTCATAGTTGTAGAACACACACACAGAGAGTGTGCTCTTTACAGTTTTATAGTCGTAGTTGTAGAACACACACACAGAGAGTGTGCTCTTTACAGTTTTATAGTCATAGTTGTAGAACACACACAGAGAGTGTGCTCTTTACAGTTTTATAGTCATAGTTGTAGAACACACACACAGTGAGAGTGTTCTTCACAGAATTCATAGTCGTAGTTGTAGAACACACACAGAGAGAGTGCTCTTTACAGTTGTATAGTCATAGTTGTAGAACACACGCAGAGAGAGTGTGCTCTTTACAGTTTTATAGTCATAGTTGTAGAACACACACTGAGAGAGTGTGCTCTTTACAGTTGTATAGTCCTAGTACTTGATGAAATAGTTCTAATAGATATTAAACTCATTATTTTTCATTACACTGAATAAAAATACTAGAAAATAACATCGTTTAACAGGAACCCCTAATATTAATTGTCAATTACAACTTGTCGAACTATTTTTCAACTATAAGAAGGCCATCTTCCTTATGTTAAGATAATAATATCTCCAGTTTTTTCAATCACCAGAGGCCTGTATTTCCTGAATGACGACATCTTCCAACTTATCACTTTTTCTATATACCGAGGCCTGCCTTCCCTAAGTTAATATATCTTCCAACTTACCATTACATAACTATATATATATATATATATATATATATATATATATATATATATATATATATATATATATATATATATATATATATATACCTTCTAACTTACCAGCTTTTCTATCATCCGCGGCCTGTCTTCCCTAAGTTTTCTTACTGTCGTCACCAAGTCAACTTTTTTTGTAGCTTTAGCTTGTTTAACCAGTTCATGTAGTGCGATAAACATCGCTGTTCTACCCGCCCCAGTCCTATCAAAGCAATGTGAAAGTTGAAAAGTTAAAACACGATCTAATTTAACACTGCACTAAAAGTATGCCATTAGTATACTTGAAAAAAATTAATCCATTATGAAAATTGAAATGACTGGAAGTATTATAAGAAAATTAGGGTAATTAAAAAATGATAGTAAAACAATGCAGACTGTTTGGTCGTGCTATAAATATTTTCAACTATTTCAGTCTACTTAGTTGACAACAAAATTTTACGCCATTTTTAATAAATAAATATCGACAAAAACAAAGGTGAATTAGACAAACAAATATCTGGCACAGTTTGGGGAAAGAACTACATAGGTATGGATCTGACACAATCTCGATAAAAGAAGCAACACATAATCCGTAAACAAAACTTTCAAGAAGAATTTAAACAAATAAAGTATATTGTGAAATAGTTGATTGTTATTGTGATTTTATAGCTTGTTAAATGTTCCACGCTGATGTAAAAAGTAGCAGGGGGGGGGGGGTGACATTTAATCAATGTTGTTAGTACGAGGTGATTTATTGTTGACGTCTTTGTAGGTTCCAAAAGCGAAGATCGTAAATGGCTACTGCAACGGGTTGAAGGTCATTCATAGGGACCTATGCCCTACTCCAGGTTTTGACAAGGTTGGAGGATAATTTACAGACATTAATTGTATTGTATGTGTGTTGAGGTAGGGGTGACTTGATGACGCAGGGATAAATAAAGATGATGTATGACCTAGGGCTAGCATACGTTGATGGGTTTCATAATCAGGCTGACCTGCAATGAACCACAGTGTGATACTTTATACTCTCTAAGAAGACTCTGTTCTCAAAGTTGACTAAACTCCAGATGCACGGGGGGTATCCCTCCTGGGGCCACGACGTGTAGTGGTACTGGGTCAGCGACCATGGGGGTAAGTCTTCCTAGAAGAACAAACAAACACTACGCCATTATTTCTTTTGACGTGGCTTAATAAAACATTATTCCATTATTTCTTTTGACATGGCTTAATAAAACATTATTCGAAGGCAGTGAATAGAAGCAGAGGTGCGTTTGAATTACGCAAGCTCTGCCTTGTCCAGTTTAAAACGTATGATTTACTTTTGTTAATTCCATTTGTCTGATTGTGTAGTCAGTGTAGACTTGAGTGTCCAGAACCTTCACTTTCATGCACTCAAAGGTGATCTCATTGTCAGACCAATACTGAACCACATCCTAAACCAATAGAAACAAAATACACGGTGTTAAGGTGATTACAGACTCGAATACTTTAATACAAAATACATGGTATTTATGTGATTACAAAGTCGAAAGCTTTAATTCAAGTGAATTCAGCCAATGAATTTTATGACTATGTAATATTTTTAATGTTACATATAAGTGTTGCAGAACAGCTGTGCACTTTTGGTTTTAAAATAAAATTTTAAGATAAAGAAACTGATATCTTTTAATTCATCTTTTTTATTTTCATTGGGGTGTTTTTTCTCCTTTCAAGTTGATATACCTGTCTCTAGGCATAGTTATGCTTAATACATGAACTACTTTATGAATGCTCTAGGAAGATTTATATTAATTTTTGTTAAGTTTGTTATTTCAATAGAGCAAATAATCTTTACATCAATGTTTAAGTGCACCAACTAAGAAGATCTTATTACAAATATGTTATTTGTATCCATTGAGCTTTTTGAAATATAAGTTTGAGATCAACTTTGGGTGAGATCAACATTAGATGAGATCAACTTTGGTGAGGTGCACCATAAAACTGCATTTTATTGTCTCCTATAAGAGGGATCGAACAGTGCCATGTTCTATCCTTCTTTTCAACTCTTCAACATTTTTACGCAAAATTTAAAATTAAAATTAAGGTTCTCACGACTGAAACTCTCCACATGCATTTATCACTGTCATCTACAACACTAGGTTTGTACAGTAGGTTTACCATAATACTCCAGGAAATATTGATATTTACGTATCGCCACCCCCCAACTACTTCTGCCCTTAAACTATGGTAGTAATTAACCAGGTGGCGTTTTGTTTATATTAACTCATTTAAGGAGCATTTTGTTTATGTATTAAATGTTGGAAGATTACAATTTGTAAGACTTAGACATATATCATTTAATTATATGAGTCTACAATATTCTGCGTTGATAATTTTTCTATGGGGTATATTTTAAGAGATGTAATTTATTTTTCTAACATAATTTGCCGAGATCGATTTTCTTCGATCCTACATTCTGGTTAAAGCAAATAAACTTACTTTTTGTACGCTCTGGTTAAAGAAAATAAACTTACTTTTTGTACGCTCTGGTTAAAGCAAATAAACTTACTTTTTGTACGCTCTCGTTAAAGCAAATAAACTTACTTTTTGTACGCTCTGGTTAAAGCAAATAAACTTACTTTTTGTACGCTCTGGTTAAAGCAAATAAACTTACTTTTTGTACGCTCTGGTTAAAGCAAATAAACTTACTTTTTGTACGCTCTGGTTAAAGCAAATAAACTTACTTTTTGTACGCTCTGGTTAAAGCAAATAAACTTACTTTTTGTACGCTCTGGTTAAAGCAAATAAACTTACTTTTTGTACGCTCTGGTTAAAGCAAATAAACTTACTTTTTGTACGCTCTGGTTAAAGCAAATAAACTTACTTTTTGTACGCTCTGGTTAAAGCAAATAAACTTACTTTTTGTACGCTCTGGTTAAAGCAAATAAACTTACTTTTTGTACGCTCTGGTTAAAGCAAATAAACTTACTTTTTGTACGCTCTGGTTAAAGCAAATAAACTTACTTTTTCGTTGACATTGTTCAACATGACGACTTTACCAACGTTTCTCTCCCTCAACATCCGCAAAAAATCGACAATAGTCCAGGTGTTTGGACCTTAGACAAATAAAATCCCTGATTGTTCATCTGGTCTCATTTTAGCTATCTAGCTTCTTATAATAGTTGATTTTCTCCAAGTCTATCTAATGTCATTTTTTTCATTGCGTAAATTTGAAATTTTATTTTTTAAGTCTATCAGTTTTCTTGTTAGTCCAATGTCCTTGTTCACATGTAGCAGTAAACGTTAACGTTAGATCGATTGGGTTATGTGGTGCCTTAAACAGCGGGCATTGAAAGTGGGTACGTAAAATGAATAATTAAAAGATCATTCCTCTAGTAAACTTGTCAGGTCCTGTTGATTATTGAATGCAACCTTGCAGTAGCACTAAAAAAATAGTTACACTTCTAGCTAAGCAATAATAGTTTAGACATTAGTTTTAGGCGAAAAATGCCGAATAATGTGTTTATAATAATTTTGCAAAAAACTCTAGTCCGTAGAAAAAGAAAGAATGATTAGCTTGAAGTCCTAGTGACTGTTTTAAATGTTTTGAAGTGTGTAGTATTTTACCAGAGCCGGAATTCAAGAAAGACATTTCTTATTATCAGAGGTTGGTACAAGTTTGCCGCTGGGGACCTATCAGCACCCCCACCTTAATCTTATAACATATTGCACAGGTAAATCTATCTCACCTTGTGATGCTATTATTTCTTCATTCCCTTGAACCTTTTGGAAAGAAACGCCAAATTTAATACATTAATTTTTTTTACTCTTTTATTTTCTCATTAATTTAAAGCGTATACAATTGACACAGTTTGGTCATTTAAAACATATACATGTCTGTTTCAGAATTGTTATAAGCTCTAATTTAGAAAAAGAAAACGTAGTTAATTTTAGTTTCAATTGAAAGATAAGTAATCTTATAGGATTCTTTTTACTGAACGGGCAACCTCCGTACTAGTTTACACACAATAATCGTACAAGTTTTATACGCTCAGTTGAACAGCAAGCAAACTCACAACTAAATTAACACCAGAATAAAGTAAGTTGATTGTAAAGTTAATAGCTACAAGTTAAAATCATTATTAAATACAGAACCTAAAAAATTAATGTCTTAAAACGTATAGAAAAGGAACTGTACGTCTCACGTTAACAAAGCAGGCGTTGATATAATCTCCGTGATTTTTCTCCTGGTTGGGGATAAGGTACACTCTAGAATGATCAACTAGGAATAAGAAACACGAGAAAAAAAAAAATTTGTTTAACATAAGTTGTATCATTAAATGTCACCAAAACGAATGGCCAATAAGCTTTCAGTTTATACAACTATTATAACTATTACATTTCATCAATTAAAGATTAATAAAATTAGTTAAATATTGCTTGACTATAATTTTTTTTTTAAAACTCATTGATTAAAATTGCTGTAATTACTTTGAAAGTTTGCGGTTATACAAACATATGGAGAATAACTTACATGCAGTAATGCTCCGGCGTACATTTTTAGTTACATTTTCTTTACCAAGGCCAGTTTGTTTACTCGCTGTTTCGTTTTCTGGTATAGACTTTAATATAAGATATAATTGTATCAAAACCTATATATATATATATATATATATATATATATATATATATATATATATATATATATATATATATATATATATATATATATATATATACATATATATAAAATACGTAATTGTGTAGGGATAATGATATGATTTTAGTTAGGAACTGTGTGAAATTTTGGGAGAGTATATGGAGAAACTCAAGGATAGGTAGTGGTATAATATGTATTCTGTAGTGGGGTAATCATGCAGCGTGTTAAGGGACAGTAGTTAATTAAGTTGAGGGCTAATGATCAGGTGGGGGTAACGCCCGAGACCCGGGTAAAAAATTAACATTTTAGTCACAATTATTGGCGATCACGTACATATTATGTAACATTTAATAGGTACTTTCTGCCCCTATTTTGATTGTAGAAATAGCTAATGTTTTCGTGTGCAATATTCTGTTCAATTAAAAAAAAATATTTTCAGTCTTTTTTTTCTTCTTTTACAAAAATGTAAACAAATGTTTTTCTCTATTACGGTATAAAATATATATTCTTACATGCTACTAGTACGATATTTTATATTTAAACATTAAAATTGGAATTCATAGCGGTATTGTTCACTAGAAGAAGCACATTATCTAACAATAGGTACGAAAGAAAGTCTACCGCCCCCCCCCCCCCCCCTCCCCGAACGAAATGAAATTTATATAGAAAATATATATTTTTAATTTTACCAGTGTCCGCCACCCCCTCCCCCCCCCCAAATATTTTTAAGTGCCCCCCCCCCCCTGGAGAAAAAGTCTGGAAGAAACACTGTACATAATGGACATGATGCAGTACTATAATTTGAGACTAAATCGAACCAGGAGCGTCCACCTGGTGATTTAACAGAACCAGGGGCAATACCCGGCGTAAAATGCAGTACCCGGCGTCCCTGCACTACTGTAACTAGAAGCTCCCGACGGCTTTGACACAGGGGCGGTCACTGGGCGTGTCTACCTCACTATTATGGATGGTAATTAACGTACACTCAGAGTTTACTATGTTAAATCTCTTTCTTCGCAATCGTTAACAATATCGTCAGAGTCACTGCATAAAGATCGACTACTCATACTTCTTATATTTAAATGTAGTTACTTGATGTTTTACTTGCAATTTAAAAAGGTGTGTCGGTATTTAACACAACTGTTACTCTACTGGATTAAAAATTGTTTTAGGTACCTGATTTAAAATTATACTCTAAGTTTTAAATGTGCCAAATAGCTCCTATGCAATCGATCTATTAATTTTAATCGTCTCTTAACGGAATGTTTTACACATTCATATAAAAAATATTTAATACTAGAGGTCTATATGTAAATTAAATTCATTAGCAACCTTTGGGGTAAGTTTTTACTTAAAATTGTTGGTTACTTGAAATAGAATTTACTTTAAATTGTTTCTCGAGAAATTCGACGGTGTGTTCTTTCATGTAGGTGTTGAAACTGTCTATAGGTATTGCAGTCAAATTTTCGCCTCTTCCTTTATCTGTAATTTAAAAAAAATGCACTTGTTTAAAATAAAGGGTGGATGAATAAATGAGCGGCCAGATGGCAGGTGGGACGGGGGAACGGTGGACGGATATACGGAAGGTTGGGCGGATGGACGTTTGGACGGATGGATGGATGGATGGATGGATGGACGGATAGCCGGATGGAAGGATAGCCGGATGGATGGATGGATGGAAATTGTAATAGTCCATGTCTTCACGAGTCTTATTACTTTGAATGTGCATGAATAATTCTACTTAATTGTACAAATAACTATTTGATCAGTTTGTCACAAACAAAACATCCCCATCGCGTCTGGTGCTTATCTATTAATGCACAGGTAGTTGCAATTTTTGCAGCAATTATTATAGCATTAAAATAAGTACTATTATCATGTTGCACCCAATTAATTCATTTTTTTAAAAAAAGCAATCTGCTTTGGAGAAAATTAAGATAGTGTTCTGCTGAATGTTTTCAATGAACATGTTGACTTACACAATAGTAAAAAATAATATATATATATATATATATATATATATATATATATATATATATATATATATATATATATATATATATATATATATATATATATATATATAAACTTTTGTAGTAATAATATGGGTATTAAAAAAAACAGCTATTATTATACATCACGGTGTGTAAAAGTATAATTATTTAAAAGCACCGGTCGATATGATGAATTCAAATGATGTAGAATATTCGATGTAGAATTTTAATATATTTTTATTATAATGTATTATTTAGTTGAGTGTATGTTTGTCTGTGAGATGTTACAAATGGTTTAACCAGTATTTTAACCCCTTCTAATGCACATATTCCTCTGCCGAGGTAAGAGAAAATAGTAAACTCTACTTCACCTGCCACATCAGCCATCAAGTTCGAGAAGGTAACTTTTTATTAACGCAGATGACAATGTAATAATATACATTTCAAAATCTAATTAGCATTAAGTTTAGTCATTAATAGTTAATTCGAAAAGTGAACAATTTAATAGTATGAGGGGAGGCAACGATGGTGACTTGTTAGTCGAGGCTAATTGTCTCCCTGCTTGAGAGTCGACCGTGGACTGAGAATCAGCTGATAACTGTCTTATAAATGGATTGTAAGTTACTGATCGCTAGAAAAAGTAAATATTATTAGTCTAGCCTCGGAGTGTCATAGTGTCATCTTCCTTGAGAATGAATTACTAAAAAAATGAAAAACAAAATAAATTTGAAAATCGTTAACTACACTCTTTAAAATCACAAAAATAAGAACATAAAACTAAATTTATTTCTTTAATATAAGCATCGGTCACTCTCCATATTTGTTACTTAGCGACCAATACTTTTACTAAAAATTAATTGAAAGATTTTAATTGGTGGCAGATGTTGAACATTTTACGTAAATTCTCAAGTAGAACTTCCAACTCACACCGCAACGCCTACATCACAGGCATGGGCGTCAACCCAAGCTTCCAGCAGAGTGGGCGATTAAAAGGAATCAGGTAGGACTGACACTAATCTTTGTCAAAATCGTAAAATACAACTAGAATTTGAAAAGTATAAAATAAGTGTAAACTGGATTGAAAACAATTTGTTACTTACTTTCCGCAATTATACTTGGCCTGCTATGTGCAATTTTCTTTGACTTCCTTCAGATCACCCGTTAGATACAAGACACATGAGTGTGTGCAATACAATTTGTATTATGATAGGACATGGTCAGTGTACAACAGGGGTCTCCAAACTACGGCCCGCGGGCCGGATGCGGCCCGCGAGGTCCTCTCATCCGGCCCGCGGAGATCATTTTGTCCACGGAAACAAACGTGTGTTGGTGATGGCTGAGGAAATTTGCCCAGAAAAATCAAAAACATGCCTGGAAGAAACTGGCCCCCGAACTGAAATTTAATAGGTAATGCGGCCCTCGGTCTGAAAAGTTTGGAGACCCCTGGTGTACAATGATAATACATGGTCAGTCTACTATGTAGCACATGGTAAGCTTATTGTGTAGTACATGGTCAGTCTACTCTGAATAAACCTACTGTTAAATATTTCTGTTCAACATAGATAAGTTGTTCTTAACATTTTTGGAGGTACCGAAACCACCCGCTTCATACGCACATTCATTGAACCCTTCTTAACACGACACATACAATGTTACTTACAAATTGATAACATAGATATATATTTTGCTGCTGTTCAAAGAGCAAAATCATCCAAATAGATATACACACAAGAACACAAACTTCATTGTGAATATTCATTGCAAATCAATTTTACTTCTACTGTTGCCTTCCCGACACCAGCTCAGAAATTCATCTGGAATTCAGCAAGCGTTGTGTTCTTGTGTCCTTCATTAAGGAAGTGTTCAGGTAATTTTGCCGGTGCTTGATTAGAATCGCACATTGCTTAACTCGGCATTATAATCCAGCAGGTAGGACGCTGACTGGCATCAATCTCCTTTACGTATGGAATTCAGACCACTTTTTTTTTGGTCAACGTAATAGAGGAGGATTAAAATATTAAAATGAGTTCAATCGACGTAATATCACGACAATCAGAAGTCGACACCTGGATCTTGATATAGAGATAACAATAATGCCGTCACAGCATGTATATTCACGATCAACGTACGCCTGTATAGGTGGCTTTGACACGATTAGTAACGCTCTTCGATATAGAAATATCACGATATCTCTGCGTGTGATTCGGTACGGCACACCTTATTATGTCATCCACCGGAGCCACTAGTTATATCGGCTGCACTGACTATATCCGACCGCAAACCAGGGCCCGCAAACCATACGAGTCGGGGGTGTGACCTGACCTCTGTAAAACCTTGAGGCTGACTCAACGAACTCTGGGATTCGTTCCATCCCAGGTTAAGAACCACTGACACGTGTACACATTTCGGAATTCCACAAATACTAAGAACATTATTCATGTTCAAGTAAGAATAAACTAAAATCTAGTTCAGTTTATTATTGAGTTCCACAAATACTAAGAACAGGGGCGTAGCGAGGGGGGGCGGGGGGTGCGGACCGCACCGGGTGACACCATTTAGGGGGGTGACACCAAGGCAAAAAATAGCAAAATATATAGAGAAAAACTCGAGGGGGGGGGGTGCAAATCGAAAGTTTGAGGGGGGTGCAAATCGAAAACTCGAGGGGGGGGGGGGGGTGCAAATCGAAAGTTTGAGAGGGGGGGGGTGCAAATCGAAAATTTGAAAGTTTGTCCCTGGGAAGGGTCTCTATGCCTCTGGGGGGGGGGGGGGGTGACACCATTAAGTGCCGCACCGGGTGACACCCGACCTCGCTACGCCACTGACTAAGAACATTATTCATGTTCAAGTAAGAATAAGCTAAAATCTAGTTCAGTTTATTATTGAATTCCACAAATACTGAGAACGTTAGTCATGTTCAAGTAAGAATAAGCTAAAATCTAGTTCAGTTTATTATTGAATTCCACAAATACTAAGAACGTTAGTCATGTTCAAGTAAGAATAAGCTAAAATCTAGTTCAGTTTATTATTGAATTCCACAAATACTGAGAACGTTAGTCATGTTCAAGTAAGAATAAGCTAAAATCTAGTTCAGTTTATTATTGAATTCCACAAATACTAAGAACGTTAGTCATGTTCAAGTAAGAATAAGCTAAAATCTAGTTCAGTTTATTATTGAATTCCTCAAATACTAAGAACATTATTCATGTTCAAGTAAGAATAAGCTAAAATCTAGTTCAGTTTATTATTGAATTCCACAAATGCTGAGAACATTATTCATGTTCAAGTAAGAATAAGCTAAAATCTAGTTCAGTTTATTATTGAATTCCACAAATGCCGAGAACGTTATTCATGTTCAAGTAAGAATAAGCTAAAATCTAGTTCAGATTATTCTTGAATCCTACACAGATCCAATGGTACCGATGACTTGTGTTAAGACTATATCTTAATCTGTAGGACATATCTCGGGCTATACAGTGGCACCACATTTAAGATGTGTTGGTTATTGATATTTGAATTTTCACTCTTTAAAATACATATTATATCACTATCTCTATACGTGGCTATTCCATTTCCTAAATGACCCGAGGGGGTAATTGACATAAAATAATCAATAATGATGACTTCAGGGGTAATGTGGGGCATGCCTGGAGGGTAATTGAAGGGGGAGGGGGAATAATGTCCTAAAACCATAAAGTTAAAAGGAATAGTCTTTTAACATACCTGTAAATGACTCCTCCAAAAGTTAAACACATTGGAATTGCTAAACATATAAGCAATACTGTTAGAAGCGTTTCCACGATTCCTTGGCGCTGGACTAGAAAAAACATTTTACAGGGGACATTTTTTCACCTGAATTTTATTTGGACGAATACTTGTATATTAAAGGCAATCATCTGCATGTTCACAAGACCAAACTATTTTATTTAAATGTTATCTAATTTTATATTCATAAAAAAAATTCCTTCGGTTAAGTTGTTTTAAAAACCCGCAATGTTTTATTAGACACAGGAGGGCATTGTTTATTAAATATTTCATTTATTCGTCTCTTAGTTTCTGTTGCTTTCACAGTTTTAATGCATAAATCGCCCTGTGTTATGAACAGCATAAATGATCGCGATTGTCTCATTTGCATGTCCAATTAGCCGTACGTATATGAGCATTACTGTTTTGCTTTAAGCACTCAGCACTACATGCATTGTGTCGTCGTTACATTGGTTTTTTTTTCAATGGAAATTTTTTTAATGTTTTGTACTTACGAATGTCAGCCGTTTGAATAGCAGCAGCCACACATTCTCCAGAAACTGGGTCACAGACTTGGCTGCTTTTAACAGCCCCTAGGTGGCAGCCCTTACTACACTTTTGAGAGCAATTTTCACCAAACGTATTGTTAGTACATTCTGTAAACAGAGCAATTTTCACCAAACGTATTGTTAGTACATTCTGTAAACAGAGCAATTTTCAAAGACCCGTCTTTGATTAAAAATAATAATCTATATATATATAATTCTCTTCTGGGATCAGTTAGAAAACAAGCTGCAAGCGCGCCTTTGCAGTCCCCTCTCTTCCTCTCTATCACTACCACCCCCACCCCACCCCCACATGATCTGGTGAGCGGTGTTCACTCTGTTTACATTTTACAATCACAGAGACGTGTTTGGTGACGGCTATTAGGGGCAGATAATTTAGTTTGAAACGATTTTAAACTTACAGGAGGTAACTAAGAGGAGGCTGCTTTCACGTGGGGGGGGGGGGTAGTGTTTTTAAGCAAATATTTTCAATGGCAGCATTGGTACTGTCGAATTCACAAATTATAAATTACTGAAAAGTAGAAAAAAAAACAACTAAATAGCGGCGTATGATACGCAGCGGGTCGGCTCGTCTACTATATTGTATATCTTCTTGTAGTTTGGTGCAGGTCTCGATAAAAGAGTTTTCTTGTGAGACCGACAAAAATGAATTCCCCTTCGTGCGCAAAAAAGGGGGGGGGGTGCAAATCGAAAGTCTGAGGGGGGGGGGTGGTGCAAATCGAAAACTTGAGGGGGGTGCAAATCAAAAGTTTGTCCCCGGGAAGGGTCGCAACGCCTCTGGGGGGGGGGGGGTGACACCATTAAGTGCCGCAACGGGTGACACCCGACCTCGCTACGCCACTGCCTGCGGGGATTCCCATTCCCGAATAAAGATGTCTAAAAATAATAATCTAATATATAAAACTGTAAATCTACTTGTAGTTTGGTGCAGGTCTCTATAAAAGAGTTTTCTTGTGAGACCGACAAAAATGAATTCCCCTTCGTGCGCAAAAAAGGACAGACAAAAACGAACACGCCAAAAAATAAACCGGTAGTGATCTCCCCTAAACTTTCTCGAATATTCTTATATAAAACAACAGGGGATGGTAACTGGGGATATAGTTATGATCTTTAATCCATTTTAAATACTGAAACTTTTAAAAATAGAATAGAATCTCAGTAAAAAACAATTGCGCACCAAGCGAACGCCTAATAAAGGTGTGTATAATAGTGCGCAATAGTATTAGTACTTTATAAATTTACATTAGTTTTTTGAGAAATCGGAAGTAGCGTAAAGTACTACTTCCGATCAACGGAAATTACTCAAAATTTAACAGAAGGTAGAGAATTAGATCTTTTACTTACATGTGAAATTTCATTTATCTATCTGAAATAGTACTCAAGTTATAGGCTTTTGAAAAATTCAAAGTAGAAAAAGTACCACTTCCGGTTATCCGAAATCGCTCAAAAGTTGATACGGATCTACGATTTTGATATAATACTTGTATATGAAATTTCATCAACCTAGCTGTAACGGTACTCAAGTTATCGTGTTTACACACGGACACACACACACACACACACACACACACACACACACACGGACACACAGACATACGGACAAGATTGCAAAATTATGTTTTTCCGTATCAGTGAGATGTAAAACGTCGAGATTTGCAAAAATCTCGATTTTTTTTTTTTTGCACGATTACAAGACTTTCTCTATACTTCGTATATACGAGAAAGTAAAAACACAACACAATCACAACTTAAACAAAACAAAAACACAACATAAACACAACACAACACAAACCGGGACGGCTATTATTATATAAATTTGTATATCTTCTTGTAGTTTGGTGCAGGTCTCTATAAAAGAGTTTTCTGGTGAAACCGACAAAAGTGAATTCCCCTTCGTGCGCAAAAAAAAGGACAGATAGAAACGAACATGCCAAAAAAAAATAGAGATAGAGAACTAATAACCTGCGGGAATTCCCGTTCTTGAATAAAGATGTCCATTGTTACTTCACCCGTCTTTGATTAAAAATAATAATCTAATATATAAAATTGTATATCTTCTTGTAGTTTGGTGCAGGTCTCTATAAAAGAGCTTTCTGGTGCGACCGACCAAAACGAATTCCTCTTCGTGCGCAAAAAAAAAAAAAAAAAAAAAAAAACAGACCAAAACGAAAACGCAAAAAAAGATAACTAATAACCTGCGGGGATTCCCGTTCCCGAATAAAGATGTCTAAAAATAATAATCTAATATATACAATTGTAAATATACTTGTAGTTTGGTGAGAGAGAGAGAGAGAGAGAGAGAGAGAGAGAGAGAGAGAGAGAGAGAGAGAGAGAGAGAGAGAGAGAGAGAGAGAGAGAGAGAATTCATAATATCTAAACGATAAACCTTTTTCTTGACTGGAAGCAAGAAACTGTTTTCTAACATTAGTGCTACAGCAATTACATTAAAAAGATCATAACTTTTCTGATGAGACGCAATGCTCTCTAGTACCACGCCTCTGGTCGCACTTGTTATCTCTATCAAAACTCAAGTTGGTTTACATTAATTTTAAATTTTTCAAACAATGGCTTTATTTTAACTGAATAGTGACGTCACATAATGTGTTTACTTTTCAGTACAATAAAATGGCGACTTCAATCCAAGATTTAGTTGCCGATTTAGATGTTTAACGCGTTCTAAAGCTAATTTTCTGTCGGCCATAACTTTAACAACCTTTTTTTTTTTACTCTAGAGCACATTCTAAAATATCGGTAGGGAGGCGGGTACCACCTAATTTAAATCGACAAACTCCTTCCAGAGGCGTAGCGACCCTTCCCGGCGACCGGGGACATAACTTTCGATTTGCACCCCCCCCCCTTAAACTTTCGATTTGCACCCCCCCCCCCCTACTCAAACTTTCGATTTGCACCCCCCCCCCCCCCTCAAACTTTTAATTTCCATCCCCCTTCAACCTTTCAATATTGTTTATGATAAAATCTGTCTCTGTCGAATAGTGAGAGGCGGGTACAGGGTTGGGAACCCCTGATCTAGATCTATGCGCGTAAATCAAGTTGCATAAGGAGACTCAAAGTATTAAACTATAGTATAAAAAAACATCAGTGACGTCTAGAGTAAAATAGCTAAGTTGCTAGTGTAATCGGTTTTCAAGCGGGTGGTACGGGTTCTAGACCAATACGCCAATGTTACTTTTTTTTTCAATTTTTTTATATTTTTTTAGATGTGAATGATAAAGTTGCATATCTGAACTTGGTGGGATACAGGGCAGGTGAAGTAGAGTTAATCTGTTTCTTTGTCCTAAGTATATGAAGGGATAGTGTGGGCAGAGACATATTTGGCTGGAATCGTTTTTTAAACGATAAAAACATGTTGTCTGAGACTTGGGGGGACACTGGGCAGGTGAAGTAGAGTTGAGTAGGTCACCTGTGACGTCAGTATATAAAGGGATAGTCCGAAATCGTTGTTTTTGGTGTTTTTAAAGATAAAAAACATCTTTTTGAATGTGGGGTCTGGTTTTTCGTGACGATAAGTGACAGACGTGATGTTTTTTATGGATGACCCCCGAAACCCACAGTTATCCAAGGGATGACGGGTAGTCTAGTAAGTATACTAAAAATTAGAAGATATTAATACACTCTAGCAGACGACAAAATAAAAGCATGCACTAATAACGCAAAATGAGGTTTGAATAACTGACATTTTGATACTCAACATGAATATATACATGTACATTAGTCAAACTACAATGATCCAAAGGAATGTTTAGATTTAGATATTAGTCAGGAATCTTTAGATGTAAAGTAGTCAGACATTTTCATATTGGGAAGTCAGGAATCTTTAGATGTAAAGTAGTCAGACATTTTGATATTTGGCAGTCAGGAATCTTTAGATGTAATTTAGTCAGACATTTTCATATTGGGTACACAGGTTCAAATATTTTAATAATCTACCGGTACATTAAGATATGTAGATAGTCGTTAGTAAACATATTACCGTACAAAAGTATTGAAATCTATTCAAGGAAAGGCATCTGATGCAGGATTCGGACATTTAAACAAGTAAATTACCTTTTTCACAATACTCTCCGTGCCGTCCCTTTATACAGCTGATGCAGGTGAAGTTGTCGGAGCGACATTTTTTATAGGCACAGTTAGAGCTACACTCCAGCTGAGCGGTTTCTGTGGCATTACACAGTGTTATATCAGTTATGGCTTCGTTACTTCATTGAAAGTTAAACATTACACAGTGTTATATCAGTTATGGCTTCGTTACTTCATTCAAAGTTAAACATTACACACTGACATATCAGTTATGGCTTCGTTACTTCGCGTTTTAGATAACTGTTTTAATAAATTGTAATAGGAATTGATTGAAATGCTCTATTTTGACAGAGTTCAGACAAGATTTTAGAAAAATATCGATGTTTAAAAAAAATTCAACTGCAATTTTGAGGGGGGGGGGGGTTGTCGGCTGAAGTGTGACGTCATTTTAGGGGGGGGGGGTGTCTGGCTTTTTGTGACAACGTGTGACGGAGGGGAGGGGGGAGGTAAAAATGGTCAAAAAAGCGTGACGTCATTTATGGACGACCCCTTTTAACCTACATGCGGAACTGACGGTCTTTTAGAAAACTTAAGTATATTTGCCCAACACAGCTCTGAGGGTGTAGTTAGGTTTTAATTAACTTGTGTTACAATATAACATATCTAAGACAATAGTCTCTGTCAATGTTTCTTACATAAAATGTAGAAATATAACCTATGCTTTGTTTCAGGCAATATTTGTTTTTGGGGCTCCTCATTTTTCTTAAGACAACTTTATGTGGTATACGTTATCTGACTATTTTTCGCACAGATGCTTGGTTCTTGGGAAATCGTTTTTCTGATAATTTTTTGGGTTTTTGGATGTAATTTCCATTTGTGCCTTTCGCGACTTTCGAAATAGTTTCAGGACTTAATGATAAAATAAATACTTATTTCCTTCAGAACGTTATGATAAAATAATTAATTATTTCTTTCAGGACCTTATGCTAAAACTTAAATTTTTTTCAGGAAGTGTTCAATATACTGACATTGATATCATTATTTACTTTCTGAAAGTATAGAAATAAATGCTTTACCGCAATAGTCTCCAAACCGCCCCGGAACACATCGTTTACATTTTCCATCAACGCTATCACAAATGAGATTTTCGCAGTTGGAACTACAGATCCGTGAACAGTCATGACCGTAGTATGGCGGAATACAGGCTGAAATGGTAGGAGTTCATGTTTTAGACACGAGTCTAGTTTCAATTGTTTTAGTTAGTTTAATGTAAATGAAATAGCTTGTTTTATTTAAATTTTAAATAAAGTTGGCAAAAGGAAAGTAACGTTTACGTTTTACCAAAAGTTTTATAGTTTATAGATTTTTGAGAAAAACCTGATTTTATAATTTTTTTTTTGCCTAGCAGCATTAGATGACTTGCATAAGTTTCAGTTGTAGAATAAATGCATTTAATTTTAGACTTAGTTGAGTTTCAATCAGAAGCAATCAGCATGCATTAAAGCTAACAAAACGGAGAATGATTTCTACTCTAACTCTTGTGAAAACAAGCAAGTGTATCGACAGAGCTAGGGATGTGCATCTGCAAGTCTCTAGCTGGGACCACAAGCTAGAGTTCATCGGATGCCCCTGGAAGTCTCTAGTACCACAAGCTAGAGTTCATCGGATGCCCCTGGAAGTCTCTAGCTGGGACCACAAGCTAGAGTTCATCGGATGCCCCTGGAAGTCTCTAGTACCACAAGCTAGAGTTCATCGGATGCCCCTGGAAGTCTCTAGCTGGGACCACAAGCTAGAGTTCATCGGATGCCCCTGGAAGTCTCTAGTACCACAAGCTAGAGTTCATCGGATGCCCCTGGAAGTCTCTAGCTGGGACCACAAGCTAGAGTTCATCGGATGCCCCTGCAAGTCTCTAGTACCACAAGCTAGAGTTCATCGGATGCCCCTGGAAGTCTCTAGTACCACAAGCTAGAGTTCATGGGATGCAGCTGCAAGTCTCTAGTACCACAAGCTAGAGTTCATCGGATGCACCTGCAAGTCTCTAGTACCACAAGCTAGAGTTCATCGAATGCCCCTGGAAGTCTCTAGTACCACAAGCTAGAGTTCATCGGATGCACCTGCAAGTCTCTAGTACCACAAGCTAGAGTTCATCGAATGCCCCTGGAAGTCTCTAGTACCACAAGCTAGAGTTCATGGGATGCACCTGCAAGTCTCTAGTACCACAAGCTAGAGTTCATCGGATGCACCTGCAAGTCTCTAGTACCACAAGCTAGAGTTCATCGAATGCCCCTGGAAGTCTCTAGTACCACAAGCTAGAGTTCATGGGATGCACCTGCAAGTCTCTAGTACCACAAGCTAGAGTTCATCGGATGCACCTGCAAGTCTCTAGTACCACAAGCTAGAGTTCATCGAATGCCCCTGGAAGTCTCTAGTACCACAAGCTAGAGTTCATGGGATGCACCTGCAAGTCTCTAGTACCACAAGCTAGAGTTCATGGGATGCACCTGCAAGTCTCTAGTACCACAAGCTAGAGTTCATGGGATGCACCTGCAAGTCTCTAGTACCACAAGCTAGAGTTCATCGGATGCACCTGCAAGTCTCTAGTACCACAAGCTAGAGTTCATGGGATGCACCTGCAAGTCTCTAGTACCACAAGCTAGAGTTCATGGGATGCACCTGCAAGTCTCTAGTACCACAAGCTAGAGTTCATGGGATGCACCTGCAAGTCTCTAGTACCACAAGCTAGAGTTCATGGGATGCAGCTGCAAGTCTCTAGTACCACAAGCTAGAGTTCATGGGATGCACCTGCAAGTCTCCAGTACCACAAGCTAGAGTTCATCGAATGCCCCTGGAAGTCTCTAGTACCACAAGCTAGAGTTCATGGGATGCACCTGCAAGTCTCTAGTACCACAAGCTAGAGTTCATGGGATGCACCTGCAAGTCTCTAGTACCACAAGCTAGAGTTCATCGGATGCCCCTGGAAGTCTCTAGTACCACAAGCTAGAGTTCATCGGATGCACCTGCAAGTCTCTAGTACCACAAGCTAGAGTTCATCGAATGCACCTGCAAGTCTCTAGTACCACAAGCTAGAGTTCATGGGATGCACCTGCAAGTCTCTAGTACCACAAGCTAGAGTTCATCGGATGCACCTGCAAGTCTCTAGTACCACAAGCTAGAGTTCATCGAATGCCCCTGGAAGTCTCTAGTACCACAAGCTAGAGTTCATGGGATGCACCTGCAAGTCTCTAGTACCACAAGCTAGAGTTCATGGGATGCACCTGCAAGTCTCTAGTACCACAAGCTAGAGTTCATGGGATGCACCTGCAAGTCTCTAGGACCTCAAGCTAGAGTTCATGGGATGCACCTGCAAGTCTCTAGGACCTCAAGCTAGAGTTCATGGGATGCACCTGCAAGTCTCTAGGACCTCAAGCTAGAGTTCATGGGATGCACCTGCAAGTCTCTAGTACTACAAGCTAGAGTTCATGGGATGCACCTGCAAGTCTCTAGTACCACAAGCTAAAAAAGCACCTGCAAGTTGTAACATTGAACTGCGTTACTCACGCGTTAGGCATCCTACTCCTTTAAACCCCGCTGGGCAACCAAATACACAGTATCCGGTTTGTAGGAAGCAGAAGTCGCTTCTTTTGGCACAACGACAAGTGTGCTCGCACTCCAGTCCGAACTGTCCAGGTTTACACACAACATCTGTTCATAGATTACACACAACATCTGTTCATAGATTACACATATCTGTTCATAGATTACACATATCTGTTCATAGATTACACACACCATCTGTTCATAGATTATGGAACATCTGTTCATAGATTAAACATATCTGTTCGTAGATTACACACAACATCTGTTCATAGATTACACATATCTGTTCATAGATTACACACAACATCTGTTCATAGATTAAACACAACATCTGTTCATAGATTACATACAAGATCTGTTCATAGATTAAACACAACATCTGTTCATAGATTACAGAACATCTCTTCATAGATTATACACACAACTGTTCAAAGATTATACACAACATCTGTTCATAGATTACACACAACATCTGTTCATAGATTACTCACATCTGTTCATAGATTAAACACAACATCTGTTCATAGATTACACAACATCTGTTCATAAACAACATACAAGATCTATTCATAGATTACACGCAATATCTGTTCAGAGATTACACGCAATATCTGTTCAGAGATTACACAACATCTGTTTTAAGATTACACAACATCGGTTCAGATATTACACAACATCTGTTTTAAGATTACACAACATCTGTTCATACATTACACACAACATCTGTTCATAGATTACACAACATCTGTTCATAGATTACACAACATCTGTTCATAGATTACACACATCTGTTTTAAGATTACACAACATCTGTTCATAGATTACACAACATCTGTTCAAAGATTATAATAAATCAAAAATTTAAATGGCAAAATAAATTAGACATTATTAGTATGACGTCGTCAAGCAAAATTAACTAAACTGATAATTCGGTGTTGTGTAATGTCAGTAATAAACCAAACGTCTTTATTATCGGTCGCCAATCAACTAGCGATGGATATATTAATTCAAATCGTTTAGCTTGGTTTGGTTTTATTTACTACATTTAAAATATATGTAGAAGTCATATAGCTACATTTAAGAGAACGTCATACAATTTATGGCTGAGGCTATAGCTAAAGAGAACGTCATACAAGATATGGCTGTGGCTATAGCTAGAGAGAACGTCATGCAAGTTATGGCTGTGGCTATAGCTAGAGAGAACGTCATACAAGTTATGGCTGTGGCTATAGCTAGAGAGAACGTCATGCAAGTTATGGCTGTGGCTATAGCTAGAGAGAACGTCATGCAAGTTATGGCTGAGGCTATAGCTAGAGAGAACGTCATACAAGTTATGGCTGAGGCTATAGCTAGAGAGAACGTCATACAAGTTATGGCTGTGGCTATAGCTAGAGAGAACGTCATGCAAGTTATGGCTGTGGCTATAGCTAGAGAGAACGTCATACAAGTTATGGCTGAGGCTATAGCTAGAGAGAACGTCATGCAAGTAATAATAGCTACATTTGATAGGTTATTGTTCTTATTGGTTATTTCTGAGACTGTAGTTTATTTCTAACAGATATAATAGAATCTACTAGATAAAGAACTTACCTCCATAGATTAGAAACTCACAGGCCGTAAAGACTTGGACCGAAGTATCCACAAATTCAAAATTAGAAATATGTTTTAATGCAGTATAATTGAGTTCATTCATAACAATCCAGCGACCATTCAAAATAACAACTACGAACAGCGTTTCAATTTGCTTAAGATAGCTTTGCAATTGAACGGGATAGGCTTGTATGTATGGACAAAAAGTAAATTTAAAAAATTATGACGTGGCGTGCTGATTCAGCATAGTCAAGTTTTCATATATATATATATATATATATATATATATATATATATATATATATATATATATATAGGCCTATATATAGCCTATACATATAAAAACAATTTTAAAAATAGATAAAGTTTAAAATCTCAAACACCCTAACTCAACGTTCGATTTGAAATATTTGCCTAATATTTTACGGTTTTAAAAATATTAAATCGATGTGTCATTTGTTTATGAGAGTACTTCTTTATTTTAACTGATGCCCGCCAATGTAAAACTATTCTATAGAGCTACTCATAGAGCTAATTAATAAAGCTATAGTTTAGTACAAAACAATTTGACATTTACAGTGAGTACGTATATGCAGGCCATATAATGTATGCGGCTGACTGAACGAGATTGTTAAAGCCCCGACGTTCTTAAGGCACGTATTGTCATCAGAGTCCACAACAGAGTCAAACGTCTCCAAAGTAGCGACAGACACCAACTTTTGCTTTAGTGCTATGTTACGTCCTATCAAAAAAAAAAATAATTTTCATTTTTTTTAAATTTCGCTTAGAAAGATTAATATAGTTTTATTTATCTTTACATGTATGAAATGCGAACAGTTGTTTCTCTACTGACGTACCTCCACTGATGTATATTTTACAGAGAATGACTGGTTGACTCCATGAGATCTTTATCCGCCAGAACATGCATAGATTGTCGCAGTAGTAGTCTACAGTGTGTTCCGTTACGTTGCCGATATAGTTTCGTAGACATCCTAGTGTTAAATTTTCTTGTTCTAATAGTACAGAAAATTCACGATTGAGCTCTCCTAAAGAAAGTGAAAGTAAAACCGATTATTAACCCATGCTGTTTTTTAAAGTACAGTCAGGTCAGTAGCCTACCTAACTAACCTATAGTGGACAAAATCTAACCTATAGTGGATAAAATCTAACCTATAGTGGACAAAATCTAACATATAGTGGATAAAATCTAACCTATTCTGGATAAAATCTAACCTATAGTGGACAAAATCTAACCTATAGTGGATAAAATCTAACCTATAGTGGATAAAATCTAACCTATAGTGGATAAAATCTAACCTATTCTGGATAAAATCTAACCTATAGTGGACAAAATCTAACCTAAAGCGGATAAAATCTAACCTATTCTGGATAAAATCTAACCTATAGTGGATAAAATCTAACCTATAGTGGATAAAATCTAACCTATTCTGGATAAAATCTAACCTATAGTGGATAAAATCTAACCTATAGTGGATAAAATCTAAACTATAGTGGATAAAATCTAACCTATAGCGGATAAAATCTAACCTATAGTGGATACAATCTAACCTATAGTGGATAAAATCTAACCTATAGTGGATAAAATCTAACCTATAGTGAATAAAGTCTAACCTATAGTGGATAAAATCTAACCTATAGCGGATAAAATCTAACATATTCTGGATAAAATCTAACCTATAGTGGATAAAATCTAACCTATAGTGGATAAAATCTAACCTATAGCGGATAAAATCTAACCTATAGTGGATAAAATCTAACCTATAGCGGATAAAATCTAACATATTCTGGCTAAAATTTAACCTATTCTGGGTAAAATCTAACCTATTCTGGGTAAAGCATAACCTAACCTATAGGGCCTACTAGATAAATCATATTGAAAACAATGCATCTTTAATTAGAGATCTGAGGCTAAAATCAACTTCATGAACCTTGGGAAGCAATATTGCTGGTCTGTTCTATATGGATGGACAGAGTCACAGAAATGTTTTTGTTCTTTACTAATTGTTTGATTAAAGGCATTCCAGATATATCTGGAACCAGTTTTCGTGAAAACAAATTGTTCAAAAATTCCTTTAATGCGTGAGAAGTTAAATAACTACTTTCGACGCTGTGGCTGTCAGTGTTCAATGTAAGATATTAGAGATTTTAAAAGCCAACTCTCATCTCAGTTCAGACTTTACAATGTGCAACTTACTGGGACAAAAGCCAACTCTCATCTCAGTTCAGACTTTACAATGTGCAACTTACTGGGGCCAAAGTCAACTCTCATCTCAATTCAGACTTTACAATGTGCAACTTACTGGGACAAAAGCCAACTCTCATCTCAGTTCAGACTTTACAATGTGCAACTTACTGGGACAAAAGCCAACTCTCATCTCAATTCAGACTTTACAATGTGCAACTTACTGGGACAAAAGCCAACTCTCATCTCAATTCAGACTTTACAATGTGCAACTTACTGAGGCCAAAGTCAACTCTCATCTCAATTCAGACTTTACAATGTGCAACTTACTGGGACAAAAGCCAACTCTCATCTCAATTCAGACTTTACAATGTGCAACTTACTGGGGCCAAAGTCAACTCTCATCCACGTGAAGTACTTTGGTTCGTGAAACGAAAACTCAATAGCTCTGTTTACTAAAAAACATGATCCGTTATTCTCAAAGTTTGATTCCCTCCTGTGAACTGGACTTGCAATATTCACTGTGGAGAAATATATTAGATATACATTAGTTTAAGAAAATATTAATCTATCTATCTATCTATCTGTCTGTCTGTCTGTCCGTTTGTCTTTCTGTCTGTCTGTGTGTCTGTCTATGTGTCTGTCTGTGTGTCTGTCTGTCTGTCTGCCTGTCTGTCTGTCTGTCTATCTTTCTGTCCGTCCGTCCGTCCGTCCGTCCGTCCATCCATCCATCCATCCATCCATCCATATACCCACCCACCCACCCGGTGTTTTAGGTGTTTTTAAAAGACGATAAGTGACAGACGTGATGTTTTTTTATGGATGACCCCGAAACCCACACTTATCAAGTTTGTTTACATGTTTGAATATTTATTTGTTTGTTTTGTTTGTCTGATTGGGTAATGGAGAGAATCTGCTCTCTGAGAAGAGCTGTAAAATAGTATGTAGGTAGAGCAAAAATTTTGTTTTCAGACAGACTGTTAATCACAAATTTATTTAAAGACGTTAATTAATTTATTGATTTATTCATAGATAGATTAACCACATTAATTTTTAAATTTTTAAACAATGGCTTAAATTTGACAGCATAGTGACGTCACATGATTTGTTTACTTTTTACTACAATAAAATGGCGGTTTCCCTCATAGACTTTGTGGCCCATTCAAAAGTTTAACGCGTTCTAAAACTAATTTTCTGTCGGCTATAACTTTAACAATACGTTCGCTTGCTGTTTTTATTACGTTCCAACACTTATATAAATTTTCAACTGTCTTTTTCATTTAAATTTACAATAAATTTCTCTAGCTCTACATTATGTCCAAGAAAGTTATCTATTTATTTATAGATCTAAATATCAGGTGGCCAAGAAAGTTATTTCTAGAACTAGATCGAGAATCTAGGTCAAACCAAAGATTAATTAGATACAAACCAAAGTCTTTTTGAATGTGGAGACTGTTATTTTGTGATGATAAGTGACAGACGTGATGTCATTTATGGATGTCCCCCAAAACCCACAGTTATCCAAGGGATGACGGGTAGTCTAGTCTCTTCATGGGGACCATACGAGACACCACGCAGCTTAGCCGTCCCTACCCCGCTTTCTAGGCATATCACTACCACCCCCATCCCCACCTGTCAGGTGAGCTGTGGTTCACCCCGAATGTTTACAATAGTAGAGCCGGTTCTATTAAGTGACGGCTATAAGGGGCAGATAATTTAGTTTTGAAAAGATTTGAAACTAAGGGGAGATAATAAGTTATGCTTGATATTTTCATTGTCGTCTGTAAACGGCTGCTTTCACTGGGTGGGGTGGGGTGGGGAGGCAGGGCGGGGGGGGGGGGGGGGGGGTAGTGTCGAATTCACAAATTATGAGTATGCTACGTCGCGGGTCAGCTCATATTATTAAATTTAAAAAAAAAACTTTTTAGAATAGAATGCGAGTTGTGGGTTCAGAAAGTTAAGTTAAAGTAAAACACATGATATAGTAATATTTAACTTTAATTATGATCGATGAAGTTCCAGTTCCATTAAGTTTACGGATAAAGTGTAGCGTGCGAAGTGTAAAGAGAAAGGAAATTTAAGTGACCAATAGCGCTTGAGAAAATCAGTGAGTGAGTAAACGAAGCTAAGCTCCTCAGCTTATCTCTTCCGCCCTACATTGGCCCACAACTCCACCCTACACTGGCCCACAACTCCACCCTACACTGGCCCACAACTCCACCCTACAATTGTCCACAACTCCACCCCACACTGGCCCACAACTCCACCCTACACTGGCCCACAACTCCACCCTACACTGGCCCACAGCTCCACCCCACACTGGCCCACAACTCCACCCTACACTGGCCCACAACTCTACCCTACACTGACCCACAACTCCACCCTACACTTGCCCACAACTCCACCCTACACTGGCACACAACTCCACCCTACACTGGCCCACAACTCCACCCTACACTGGGCCACAACTCCACCCTACACTGGCCCACAACTCCACCCTACACTGGGCTACAACTCCACCCTACACTGACCCACAACTCCACCCTACACTGGCCCACAACTCCACCCTACACTGACCCACAACTCCACCCTACACTGGCCCACAACTCCACCCTACAATGGCCCACAACTCCACCCTACAATGGTCCACAACTCCACCCTACACTGGGCCACAACTCCACCCTACACTTGCCCACAACTCCACCCTACACTGGGCCACAACTCCACCCTACACTTGCCCACAACTCCACCCTACACTGGCTCACAACTCCACCCTACACTGGCCCACAACTCCACCCTACACTGGCCCACAACTCCACCCTACACTGGCCCACAACTCCAACCTACACTGGCCCACAACTCCACCCTACACTGGCCCACAACTCCATCAGCATCTTCTGTAAGC